TAAATTCATCGTTTGTTTTTTATAAATTGAAATCCTTTTTTTTCGTTTTCTTTGTTTGAATGAAGATAAATGAAGGAAATTGATTTTTTTTCGTTTCATTTATAAATAGGCGCAGACATATTCTATATATGCTATAATGAGGAAGAGAAAAAAGTCATAGAAATTTCGCGTGGGACTTTGCCTTTGTGAAAAACCGTTTAAATATTACTTGACTCATCAGCGAAACAATATTGTCTTAAGTTTTACGTAACTTATCTATACATATATATGTGTACAACTTGACATGGCATATTGTAAAGTCTTAGTAAATGAAATAAGAAGGTTGAGTGTCACGGTCGTGTACAAAGCGCAAAACGATATTGTGAAGGAGCGCAGGAGCGCGTGTACGCCATATCTACCTGCTGACGTGCAGGATCGTATTTAACATAATAATTTTTATATTATTCAGTACATATAGTCAACTCTCTCCCCCTCAAACCCCCACCAAGTCCCCTACTTTTTCTTTCAATAAATGAATAAAATTATACAAATTGAGCAATAATAAGAAAAATCGGGAAATTACGAAGTTAATATTCAAATTGGATAAAATAAAGGAAATTTCATTTTTTTATTAACAAATAAATTTAATAGTTTATTGATTAGGTTACTAATAAATTCAAAAAAATTATTATTTCATTTGAAAAATTAATTATTGAATTATTAATCTATTAAGGGGTTACACCACACTAGGATTTTCAAAAAATCGAAAAATTTTTTTTTTGCTTAAAGTACACTTTAGGGTCCTAAAAACATAATTTTGAGAAAATTTAGTAAAATTCGTTGAAAAAATTCAATTATTTTCATAATTAATAAAACTCATCGCAATAAAATTTTAAATTGTATTTAAAACATTCTTCCATTATTTAAAAAAAATTAATAAAGTTCTTCGTAAGAAATCAATGATTTTTGAAAATTTTAATAAAATTCTTTGGATCCATTATATTATTTAAAAAATGTTTGATAATGTTCTTTACAAGAATTCAATAAATTTTAATAAGTTTTCAATTATTGAATAAATATTATTTAGTTTTTCAATTAAATAATTAAATTCTCGTAGAATATGTTGTAATGAAAATTTATTTAAAAATGAATTTCAGTTAAAATTTTAAATAATAATTGAATATTAAAAGCATTATAGCGTGAGTTTTTAAAAATAATTGCATTTTGAAGATGTTTCAAATGAAAATCTTTGAAAATTTGCATTTTTCATACTTTTAACTAACATTTCTGTAGAATTAATTTTTTGAAAATGTTTAATTCGATTTTTTAAAATTATTTCAAGTTTTTATTTTTTAATATACATTGAATTGAAGAATTTCCGAATAATTGAAATTTCGTAAAATTCAATTGTAAACAAATAGATTGGAAAATTCTCAAAGAACTTTGTTAAACAATATTAAAAATAATTGATTTAAAGAATATATTTTAGTTAAAAATTCTATAAAATAATAATTGAATTAAAATGATGTAAATAATTTTGGGAGCTTTCACAAATTATGTCATGGAATTTTTTGAGATTTTCAATCCTCCCTCCCCCCTGTCACGCAATTTCACATGTGAAAAATATATTGTGTCACTTTTAGTAGAGACCCTACCCCCAAAAACGTGACATCATTTGTGAACGCTCCCTTTGAAGATATATAGTCTTATAATATAAAATAATGATTTTATCACTCGAAGTTATTGATATTCTCGAATAATTTTACAATTATAAAGAAATTCGTAAGTTAATGTAATAGAACACTTTTTTTTGAGTATCTAATAATTTTTAGAGTGAATCAGAATATTCTTTAGGGTCGGGAAAAAAGTAAAAATTTTGTCTGGAAATCAGGGAAAAACAACATTAAATTTTTGTGGCAATCCTGTGATTGTCAGTTATAAAAGTAATAGACGTTTTAGTAGATTTTTTTAAATGATTTGCAAAACTTTTGCAAAATTTTTTAAAGTTAACACAGCAACTAAACAATGAAAGATAAAGTATAGGTGTCTCTGGGAAAAAGTTGCGCAATTAAATGATCTTTCAAACAAGCCATCGAAAAATGAAATCGGTTGATTCGTTTAGTCACAAGAGTCAAAAAACCGTTAGGGGGTCCGATTTGCCCCACTCTCCCCTAATTTTTAAGTTATTTTTTACTGAAAATCAGTAATTTTTTCACTGAAATTCAGTTATTTTTAATTGATTTCAGAACCAAAAAGTCGATCACCGATTGTCAGTTAAAAGTTAAAACTATGATTTTTGCTGATTCTAATTTAGAGAGTAAATAAATATTTGAACTAAAAATGAATGATAGAAAAATAAGAAATTTCTATTTAAAAAAATTGAGTTCTGCTTCCCTGAAGACACGTGTTCACATAGGCTTCACTATACATATGCAGCCCTTCCTTTTTCCCCACCTTCTATGGGATCTTCATCTTTTCCTTTGCACCTTGTGATCAGGCTGCTGACTATATAGAAAAATAAGAAGGTCCTTTTTTTAAAAAGGTAGCAGCTGCTCCTAACCATTCAGTCAAGCATTCGTTGTCGAAACCTGCGGACGTGTTCCACTCTTGGATTATCTTCAAAACTATATTAAATACCCTCACAAAAAAAATATTCTCTTCTTTAAAATAAAGAAAAACCCCGATTTTTTCTATTTTTAGTTAACTTGTGTGTTGTGTTAAACTGATTAAATTTATTTCAAACTCTTAATCACAATGCGGTGTGATTTCCATAAATGCAAATAGTGTCCCTTTTCTGTTGAAAAAAAGAAAATTTTACTTTTGTGTAAAAGTGGTGACGAATAAAGTGAATCAAGATGATAATTGTCGTTTCTGGATTTCTTGTGGGGTATGTTTCGTGTATATATGTTTAGGGTGTATTTAGAAAAAGAAATTGGGGTGCAAAAGTAAATTCATGATTCATATAATATATGATTCATGCAATGAAAGATGACGGGTTTGCAATACATATACATATAATATAACGACGATGCGGTGAAATTTCGTAGCCGCGGCACGTGCTCAATTATTTATATATTCCTTTGAGCGCACTCGACACTTCTATATTATGAAGGTTAATTAGTCGAAAGGGTAATGAAATAGATCTCCACAAGGATATCACTTCAATCATATAATTGCTGACGCTCGTTTCGAATTCTCTATGTTTGCCTCAAAATAGACGGAAATCACATTTAATATGACACAATTATTCTCGCAATTTCGAAAAGAAAATTTACAATTTTCGCCTCATTTTAAATTATCCCTTTTGTTTATTAACTTAATTTTATGTAAAATATAATAACACTAAAAAATAGAATTTCTGTATAGAAATAAAAAGAATATTTTTTTGTAAAACGATGAGACGCGGTTTTTTCCGGTTTGGTTCAAATTTCACACTGCCATATGTACATGTCATTTGATTTCGACTATAAGCGAATTTTATACTAATAAATGTCGAATATGCACATGTACATACTCACACGTGGTGCAAACCGGAAATTACGTTTGGTAATCACGTAAAAGCGGATATTAACCCAGACAGTATCGATTCTGTGCTAATTACTGTGACTTTTAAGTTCACTGCGAGAAGAGTTGCAAAAAGAAAAATTGCTTCCTTTTTTTCCTCACCTTAAAAAGCGCAAAAAAAGAAATCTTGTCTCGACTTTATATATTTATAGAAAATCTCATTAAAAACGTCTGACACTAAATAGTTTGAAAATTGGTTTATAAAAGTCGTTAATTAGTTTATTTTATGTACATATATATATAATCCTGAGTCTCTGTATTTTTTAACGTTCCATTTTACAAAACGGAAAAAATGTAAAATTAGGGATATGTAAATATTTTCTTTTTCGAATTTCCACATCCGGGGTTCACCACAAAAATAAACATATTCCTTCATTAAGTGATTTTTCTCTTTCTATAAGAAAATAAATATAAATATTCTTTTAATTGTGGTACTTTTAATTTAAAAGAAATATTTTTTTAATCAATAAATTAATTTTTTATTATTTTTAATTTAAATTGTTTACTTTATTTAAATTTTATTTATATTTAATAATTTTAATTACTTAATTAATATTTAATTACATGCAAATTATAGGATAATAGAATTTATTATTCTCTGATGTTACAATATATTATTTTACATCCGCTGTTCCCTCCACCATAAACTTTCAATTAATTATAATTAATTTAATTAATAAATCATATTATTATATAATATTAAACTGATTATATATTATTATAATTGTTATTATATATAATATAATTTAATAATAATCAATTAGTCTTTATTAACTACTTCATTAGTCAAATCTAATAAAATTCTTTGAAACAATTCAAAATTTCTAAAATTTTTGCAAATCTTTTGCAAGAATTCAATTATTTTCATAAATAATAAAATTCTTCTCAGGATTTCAATAATTTTCAATTATTTTAATAACTTTCTCGAAAATTTAATTGAAATTAAGTTTTATATTTAAAAAAAATTTATTTTTTTACTTTCAAAAATTATTTTTCAAAATAATCGAATTTTTAAAGAATTCTAACTAAAAATTTGGAAAATAATTGAATTTGATAAAAATTTATTATCAGGATAAGAAAAACTGAATATTTTTTATCAAATTAGGGAAATGGCAGGGAAATACAGAATGAAATTTTTGTGATTTTTTTGAATCGACTAAAACGAGTTTTTTAGTCGTCAAATTTAATTTTTCGATAGCTAGCCACTTTTCTACTACTTTTTTCAGTCTCAAAGCTACTTTTTGCTACTTTTTTAAAATTAATTACTGAGCGCGAAGCCTGAAATATTAAAAAATACATAAATAATTGAAAAATATTAATGTTAATATATTAATTCGAAAAATATGTAAAATGAAAATGTGTAAGAAAAAAAAATCGGAAGTATTTGAATATTATAAAAATATGAAGAATGAATTTACTTTCTTTTTTTTAAAGAAATTTTGTTCTCACTGTTGCAGTTTCCCACAAAAGATGGAGAGGTCGACGCACAATACGAGTCTTAATCAGGCTCACAGCGGAAATGTGCACAATGTATATTCCTCCGGAAATCAAACAGCCCTCTCGACATCGTACATAACAGGGCAGTCTTACATGCAGGGACAAAATTATACTCTTGGCCCGTACCCACCATCCACCGTGCAGGTGTATCCACACACAAACTACGGACAACCCCAAAGTTATGGAGCAATAGTTCAGGGTTACGGGGGACAACCTCAGTCTGGATTTCAGCAGGCATGTCACAAGAAAGGATCCATCCGTAATGGGTAAGTTCTTCCTTTTTTCCCATTAAAACACTATTATAATCCACCTGGACCAACTACTATTATTTATACATAAAGCTTAGAACAACTTCCGGATACACTTTAATCTCTTGAATTTCAAATGCAACGGTGCGTGGTTTTCGGTGGAATTCAAATATTTATGGGGAAAGGAGCGAATGGGGATTTACATTTTTATGCAAGTTTCCGTTTTTTTTCGTTTTTTCTTTTGTTGGGCGAGTAAATTTAAAAACCGGAAAAATTTTTTGTTAAAATTATTAAGACAATTTTCGAAGAAACTTTTTATAGTTGACCGAATTCTGATTGAAATTCGATTTTACCTATATTTCAATTTTTTCAAAGTTAATACAAAAATTTAATTTCGGTTTTTCCTGACTTCCAGACAAAATTTTTACTTTTTCCTTGACCCTAAAGAATATTTTGATTCACTCTAAAAATGGTTAGATACTCAAAAAAATGTTCTATTAAATTTATTTACGAATTTATTTAGTAAATATTTAATTATTATTATTTTTCCATATAAGAATTAAGTTTTTAAAAAATTTCAAATTTAAACCTTTTTCAAATTCAACAACTTATAATAATTAAAGTTGACCGAGTGATAAAATCATTATTTTATAATATAAGAATATTGTCACAATAACTTCTTCAAAATTATTTTCATCATTTAAATTCAATTATTATTATCCAGAATTTTTAACTAAAAGTCTTTTTTAACTCAGTTATTTTTCATAATTTTTGAAAAAGTTCTTTGAGAATTTTCAAATGAATTGAATTTACAATTCAATTTTACGAAATTCCGATTATTCGGAAATTCTTTCATTAAACATATATTAGCTAAAATAAAAATTTCAAATAATTCTAAAAAATGCAATTAAACTTTTTCAAACAAATTAATTCTCCAGAATTGTTTGTTAAAAGTACGAAAAATTAAAATTTTGAAAGATTTTAATTTGAAACCGTTTCAAAATTTAATTATTCCTAAAAATTCACGCTATAATGCTTTTAATATTCAATTATTATCTAAAATTTTAACTGAAATTCATTTCTAACTCAATTTTTATAATAATTGAAATTTTGACCAGAATTTTATTACTTTTGAAAGTAATTGAATTTTTTGTAATCATTTGTTACTTCTCCAAAATTAATTTTTTTAGTATCTTTAACTAAAATTCTTCTATAAATCTATTATTTTTAATAATTAATGAAATATAATATTAAAAAATTTAACTAATTTTAGAAGTTATTACTAATTATTAAAGTTTTTCAAAAATCTAAGTGCTTTAAAATTTCTGATTAATTTCATGCAAAATTGAAATTTTATATAATTTTAAATTAAAACATTTTGAAGTTCATCTATTTATGAAAATTGTGAACACAACTCTTTTAAACTTAAATTAATTTTTAAATATTTAAGTACATAAAATTATTCATTAAATAATTTATATGTAATAATTTTATGATAGATCTTCGAGAATGAAGTTATTTAAAAAGAAATTATCGTTAGAAGTAGAAAAAATAGAAAAATTGAAGGTTTTGTATTAGAATTCGTGATAAATTTCATATAGTTTATGACGCAAACAAAAAAGACACAAAAATTCAGAATTTTCTTATATGAATTCTAAAAACTTAATTTTTTCCATAAAAAAAAATAAAAATTTCTGACAAAAATTAAATATTTGAAAATCAAAGTACCTGCGTTTAATAAAGAAAAAAAAATAGAAAAAGCAAAAAAATACAAATAATTATGATTAGAAAAAAGTTCAATGGCCGATAATAAAAAAATTAAAGAAGAATAATTTTAAAATACAATAGGAAAAAAAATTGCCTCTGTCTTTTTTTTATTAGAACAGTAACCTCTGAATGAACTTAATTACTGCGATTTAGTTTATAAAATCATGACACGCTGCAGTTACAGAAACCATCTGACGCTTTGGTGAATATATATATGTATACATTAATTCTATTCTTTAACATCGAGACAAATGAAGATCCGCACCTGTTATAAAGTTTCGTAATAAAATTTTTATTATATTCCACGAAAATCTAGGAACCCTTTGTATAAATTTGTATGGAGATGTGGGACTATAAAAGAATTTCATTTTACGAGAAAAATGAAAATCAGTACCAAAAAAATTAAACTAATCATCTTGTATTCATTATGCAGAAGAAGATTTTAATTAATTTCGACAAAAATTTTAATTAAAATTTTGCTAAATAAAAATTCTCTTATAGTAAATTCGCACAAAATGAAAAATCTTCGAGAAAAAAGAATTTCATTTTTATATTTTTTATTTTCAAAACTCAGATTCATTAATTTTCAAATTCCGGTTCATTTTTTCATTTTTCATTTTTTCAGTTTAATATTTTATTAAATAATTCTTTTAATAGTTAATATTATTATTTCATTTTTATTTTCCGGTATTGAAATTTTTCTCAATTTTCGTATTTTATTTTTGTCTTTTCTTTGTATTTTACTTTTGCTAATTTTGTTTTTGTTTGTGTATAAAAATTCTTTAATGTACTGTTAAACAATTTCGTTTAAATAATTTGAAAATAAATTTAAATCTGAAAATAATGACTCAGAAAGTTTTCTTCAGTTTATATATATAAATATGTATATAGAATTTGACTAAAACGTGGGAAAAAATTCTTCATTGCCTTATTTCAAGGCTGCAAATGAATTCTCATTATTGTTATAATACCAAGTCACTCGTTATTGTCATTAGTATCGTTTCTTTTGTTATGTGATAATTATTTTTATCATGAGAAGAACATTATTATTATGTCACTTGGCCTTGAATTTCTTAAGGTTTTTTTTTATTTATTTCTTTCAATAGCTTGGGCTTTTCACAAATTCAATTCAATTTTCTCCGCTCTATTTAATTCATCACCATTTGTGGAAAATTAATATCAAGAAAATTATTTCCTTTTTCGTTTATAAAGACATTAAATTTTCCTCTCGTTTATAAATAAATTAATAAAATTATCTATTATTTATCTCGTTTGTTAACGAATAAAATTATTTATTATTTATCTCGTTTGTTAACAAATAAAATTATTTATTATTCATCTCGTTTATTAACGAATAAAATTATTTACTTATGGAAAAGAAAATTTATAGGAAGTTAGAAAAATAATTTCCAAAAAATACTTATTAAAATTTTAGTCACGAAAATATGCATTTGAATGCTGCCGGTTTGTAACACGTTTTGTGAAAGTTCATTCTTCCGACTTTATCTTAAAGTTACAACTATGAAAATAAGTTTTGAAAAGGAAGAAGGGAATATTCTCCAAAAGTGGTGAGTGTATAATAGCGGTTTATGTAAAACAAGAGGCCAAAGTTAAATCCTGCATAAGTCAAGAGAGAATCACCTCGAAAAGTAGAATGCATTGTTCCTCGTCGTCGTCGTCGTCGTCGTCCCCTTGGTGTTCATTTGCACAAGGAAAGGGCCATTGACGTCATCAGTTCATCCGCCGAAATTGGAACCCCAGACCATTATTATATTATTAAATTCAACAATCGATGTCATCCATAATAATATACAATTCAGATGGCAATCTCTCTCTTGGACGATCAAATTTTCCTTCGCGGAAATTTCATTTTTCCTTGAGAGAATTTGATTTTTCTTGAAAATTTCATTTTAAACAACATTTTTGTACTCTAAAATGTAATTCTAATATAAGGGAATTCAGGGAAAAGTCAGGGATTTTTATTACAAGTACTGGAAAAAATTAAATTTTTAGAATCATAAAAAAATTCTGAATTTTAGTCTCTTTTCTTTGTCTCATAAACTATTGAATTGCCACGAATTCTAATACAAAACCTTCAATTTTTTCTATTTCTGCCAACGATTCCTTTTTAAATAAAAATAAAAAGGAGTTTTAAATAACTCCTTCTCCTTGAAGCACTGTATTGAATAAATAATAAATAATAAATATATTTATTTATTAAAACATTGTAAATAACTAATTTTGATTTTCTTGTGAAACAGATACGAGCTGAGCCAGGACCTGTTGGAGAAACAAATCGAGATGCTCGAGAGGAAATACGGCGGCGTTAAGGCGAGAAATGCGGCATTAACAATACAGAGGGCATTTCGACGTTATACATTGTTGAAAAAATTTGCGACAATCACGGCAATGGCAAAGGCGGAGAAGCGACTGAGTCGAAAATTGCAGGAGGCTGCGGAGCGACAGGATCATGAGAGGCATCCTTATCACAGTCAAATTTACATTCAACCGAGCCAGGTCGGTGGTAATCGGCCAATGCCAATTAGAAGTATGTCATTACGAGAGAGGAGACATCCTGAGAATTCACAATGTCAAACGCCGATGACACGTAGTCAAAGTGGAAGATGCGAGGTGCAAATTGGAGGTCACAGGGTTAATGCTCATCAGCATTCTAATCACAATGTACATCAAAGTAGTCGTCATTCTAATTCGATGACACCGAGTCCTTGTGCTAGGCATCAGCCTCCACCCAGTCCTTGTTGGGAGTCGAGTTCACAGGAGAGCGGCTCCAGTATTCATTATTACAATCCACAGGTAATTGTCTCTTTTTTTTCTTCATTTCCTTTATTTTCTTTATTTTCTTTATTTTCTTTAAAATCCATCAATTTTTCGACAATCGTTTACAAACATTTCGTCACACACTTTTAAATCAAATTGATTCACTTTTTTACCATTCGAATACTTTATTTTCTTTCCTTCATTTTTTATTATTTAATTCATCTATTGTCCCTTATTTCTACTTTTTCAAATAATAAAAATAAATGTTTCAATTTATTATTATTCAATATAACGTTTGTATAATATCGGAATTTTAATTTTTTGTCTATCGGATTTTTTTAGAGTAATCGAATTTATTGACTATTAAATTCTTCTTTTATTTTTTTATTCTATTTCTATAATATTACAGACAATTATATTCTGTTCCCAAAAAAAATTGTAAAAATTAAGCATAATAATATATATTTAATACTCCTATTATTCAAAAATAGATCTATTATTTTTATGCTATTTAAATTTATGATTTTTTATACTCCCACAGTGTGTGACGTAATTTTTAAACGATAGGTTTTTTTTTTGTAGAAATCGAATTTGTTGGAAAGTTAAATAAAATATTGTAAAATTTCGAATTCAAAAAACACGTAAGATTAAAAAAATAATTTTTAAAGGACTAAAGAAGAAAATAAATTGAATATGTAAAATAAATAAAACCTGAAGTAAAGAAGAAGTAAATAAATAACAATAGGAAATAAATAAAATGAAAAATTATTAAAATTTAGCAATTAAATAAAATAGAAAGTAAATAAAGTAAATAAAAAATAAAATGGAAACTAAATAAAGTAAATAACAAATAAAATGTACAGTTAATAAAATAAATAACAAGTAAAATGGAAAGTAATTAAGAAATAAAGTGGAAAGTAAATAGGTAAATAACAAATAAAAGGGAAAGTAAATAAAGTAAACAAAAAATAAAATGGAAAGTAAATAAAATAAATATTAAGTAGAAATAGAAAATTAAAAAAAAATTAATATTAAATAAAGCAGAAAATAAATCAAATAAATTAGAGAAATAAAAAATAATTCAATAGAATAGAAAATAAATTAAAAGTAATCCAATAGAATAGAAAATAAAAAAAATTAATATTTAACAAAAAATCAAATAAATAAATTTGAAAATAAAAAAATAGACGATTATTATAAAACAACGATTTTTTGCAAATTTTTTTTATAATTATATGCAATTATAATTAATTGAAAAAATTAATTGAAAATACCATTAATCAGAAATTCTATTACCTGATTTTTCCATTGTTTAGAATGGAAATAATAGTAATATTAAAATCATGAAAATTATCAAAAGATATTTCGAAACTTTGAAAAATTAAAATATCCAGCAGTTATGGTTTTCAAATTTAAAATCTCCATCAATTAAGATTTTTGACAATTAAATTTTTCTGATTGCCTATAATTTTATCAATTAAAATCTCCTCATCAATTACAATTTTGACAATTACAATTTCCGTGAATTAAAATTTACGAATGAATTAATTTCCCCCTTTTAATTTGAAATTCCTTGCGATTTGAAATTATCGATCAATTTAAAATTTTTAGTATGAAACTAATCATAATTATATTTTGTTGAAGAACGAAAAATGCCGTTAATGCAAAGAAAATTATTCCTCTCTTATTACAATTTTTTCGTATTTAATCATTAGTGTAATTCGAAAAACAATTATTGAAAAATAATAAGAATAAGAATAAGAATTAAAAAAAGACTTTCTATAAAATTATAAAAACAAGATTTTATGTGCTCTGCATGACTGTCCTGCGTGGTATAGACACTGGTGCGATAAACTACAAAGCTGCATAATAAATTTAATTGATCTAATTCTTCAACATTCTTGACGAGAGCGCGCATAAGCATAGAAATGGATTTGATCTCATTTCAAAAGTGTTTTTCATCTTTTTCACAAGAGACTATTTTCTATTTAGATATATTTATTTCCAAGTAAAATGATTGCAATGAATCTTTTTTTTTCTATTTCTTCGAATTAGAGTTGTAAAATGTTTCCTTTTTTTCGTTTCTTGTTTCTTTGACATTTTTAGCTGGATTGTTACAGCATTTTGACCAAACGAGAGAGAAATTATTGATGAAACAGAAAAAATTTCCATATTTAGACCGAGGATAATTATTTCGAGTAATTAATTAAGTTTTATTATTAATTAGCAAGTGGGAATATTTTCCTCGCTCTCTCGCCATTATAATTAGTTTCTTTAATTCTATAAAATAATTTAAATTATATTTTTTTATTTTAGTACTTTCTTATTACTTTGCATATTTTTTCCATTTTTTTAAATTCATTTTTCTTTTCCACTAATATTTATTCGCTTACTTTTATTTACTTTACTTTTTTATTTATTTACATCGTTTTTTATTCCCTTATTTTTTCATTCAGTAATTTTTTATTTTCTTATTTATTCACTAGGTACTTTTTTTTTATTTCTTTACTTATTCTTTCATTCAGTAATTTTTTTTTATTTATTTATTTTTGTATTCACTAATATTTTTATTTGCTTATTTACTTATTTTTTATTCACTAATTTTTTTCTTTATTCACTGATTTTTGTTTAGTTTTTACTTATTTATTTGTCCTCTTATTTATTCACCTTGCGTTATATTTTCTATTACATTTTTTATTGTCTATTCATTTCTATATAGATTAATGTAATTATAATTTCTGTAAATATTACTGTAAATCAAGATTCTTAAGCTGAAAATGTTATTCCAAAATATCTTGAAAAAAATACGGCATTTTAAGTTTATGTCGAAATTTTCTTTCCTTTAACAATATTTCAAAAGAATTATGTCTTTAATTAATTATATAAACAATTTATGGTATTTTCAATTAACTACATTTTCGATTAATTACATTTTCCATTAATTACAAATTCGATTAATTACATCTTCTACTAATTACAAATTCGATTAATGACATCTTCAATTAATTACAAATTCAGTTAGAAATGTCTTCAAACAATTACAAATTCGATTAGTCATTTCTTCAATTAATTATATCGTCAATTAATTACATATTCGACTTATTTCTTCTTCAGTTAATTACATCTTTAATGCATCATATTTTGAAATGATTGTGTCTTAAAATTGTGCTATCTTCAATAAAAAAATGTTGTCAATGTAAATATTTTGGTGTTATATCTCTTCATCAGATGGTACAAAGATTGTTGAGCATCATCTGTTGTTGGATCTCTTTTCTCTGTCTGCCTCTCTCTTTTTCTTTCTTTCTCTTTCTGTGTACATGTTTCTAATTCGAATTTTCATTATCATGACCTGATTTTTCCCTCTTTTCTCTTTAAATATTTACAACTCGCGCATCTGGCGAGTAGTTATTTGATTCCCGAAAAAAAGTTTATTAAGAAGATTCGTTTTTGTTTTGTTTGAAATTCTTTTTTTTCGATAACTTTACAGGAAACTTTGTGTGGATTGAGACAAGAAACTCCACCAAGGGATTCACATAGAACTCCATGCACTTCTCCATCGACGCCTCATAATCTACAAAGTTCGTTGTCACAAAATTGGACGAGTTCGTCGTCACAAATTTGCACGTCGGGTGGTAGAAATCGTGGTTCAACGAAAAAAGTACCACCCGAAGTTCCAAAACGAACTTCGTCAATTACATCGAGGTCGATGGAACCGAGGCACAATGGTCTCAGTAAAAGTGTGGAAAATGGAAGTCTCAGTTCGGTACAAAGTTCAGGAAGTGATTCGACTAATTGCGAAAGCTCTGAAGGAGATGCACAGAGAGGCTCGCCTATTTGGAAGCATAAAGGCATTGTGAGTGTCACACCTTTTCCTTTTTCCACTTTGCGTTTCATACGTTTCTTCAATAACTTAGAGAACAAAAATTGGCATGTCCTTCAAGTTTTTAGCGTTCAAATGAACGACAATATTAATGTTTTTACTCCTTTTAATTTGTACGTTATTAGAAAATATTTTTTTCTTATACTCAAAAAATTGTTAATCGACGTAAATTTCAAAGTAAATCGTGAATTTAAATTATTCTCGAAGTACAGTCATTCTGAAAGAATATTTAAACAGAAAAAAATTTCCGTTCATTTGAACGTTCAAAATTTTAGTCAAATAAAATTTTCTTTAGATATTTTTTTCATTATTGATTTCGTATGTTTGGATAGATATTAAAACCAAACCGTAATTTTTACACTCCTAAACTAAATAGTAAATATTCATGAATAATAATAATAATAATTCTTAAATTAAAATTTCTAAATTCTAATTTTTAGTATCAAGTTTTTAAATTCTAATTTTTAAAACTTTAAATTCGAAAATAATTTTTCTTTAATACAATAATAAATAATAAATTATAATTTTTAAAAGAACGATTAAAAATTAACCGTTAGTAAATTAATAATTAATACCTAATTAATAATAAAGAAATAATAATTAAAAGTTAATAGTTAATTAATAATTACGGGGTTGCCACAGATGAGGAAAATCGGAGAATATTATCGAAAGTATTGGAAAAATATCTAATTTCTAGAATTACTACAAAAATTCTGATTCAATTAAATTCAATTTTTATTTCGTTTTCTCACTTATTAAAAAAATCTAAACTAATTTTTGTTTACTTCTTAAATGATAATTAATCAAATTAATCAAATTACTCAAAGATTTATTTAATAAATTATTTAAGTTTTATTAATTTTTAAAATTCTGGAAAAATTAGATTTCTCTGAATTCAATTCCATTTTAAACCAAAACTTTAATTATTTCTTATTTCTGTAAATAATAAAATTTATTTTAAATAATATTTTTTTCTTCAACAATTTTCTTTAAATTATTAATTATAAATAATTTTTAAAAAATTTTAATTATAAACAGTTGCCATTTTCAGAACTAATTGAATCTTAGAAGGTTTTAAAGTGAAATTTTTGAAAATTTCAAATTGTGATAAAATTAATAGTAATTGAAAATTTATTTCAAGAATTATTAGTCTTAAATAATATTAATTTAGAATTCTAAGAAAATTAGATTTTTGAGATATTTTGGTTCAATTTTTTAAAGATACTTTAAAAAATAAAATTGAAAATAATTAAATTTGTTTAAAAATTTCATTAAAGATTTAGAAAAAATCATATTTTTAACAAATATTAATTTAATAATTGGTAAATGATTAAATTTTACGAAAAGTTGGAATCAAATTAAAAAAATTAAAAAATAATTTAATTTTGAAAAAGTTGCAATTTTAAATTTTAAAAAAGATTTTAATATAAAATTTTTTTAAATAACTAAAGTTTCGAAAAATTTTATTTATAATTCTGAAAAATTAGATTTTTAATATACATATTTCAATTCTAGTGGTTCTTGAATTTCTTATCATGTCTATGATAACTGAATTTTTACAAACAAGTAGGTTGTCATTTTTTTGAAAAATTGAAATTTCTTAAAAAATTGAAAAAAAGTTTCTTAAAATTCTATTAAAAATAATTGAATTTTTTAAGAATTTTATTAAAATTTTCGATAATAATCAAAGGAAGTTTGTCAAAGTAACTAATTTTTTTTAAATATGAAGACAAGCCTTGAAGTTACAAATGAAATTTTTGCTTCTAAAAATTATCTTATTTAAAACTTGAACTCGAATTGAATTTTTCTTTTATAAGGAATAGAAAAAAGTCAAAATCTATCTGGAAATAAGATAAAAGTCAGTGAAACAAAATCAAATTTTCGTGGCAGCCCTGAATTAATTTCAACTTTTTATATTTAAAAACACGTTTTTAATAATCTCGATACTTAATATTCCTGCATAAAAAATATTAATCGTTCGGTTAATAATTCCTTAGATAATAATTTTAAAGTAATAAGAAAAATAAAGAAAATATTAATTTTAATATTTGTTATTAAATATTAACGTTTATCAATGGTTTTAGTTTTAATAATTCGTTTTTTTTTCTTCTTTTACAGTCGGCCTCACCCGAACATCAAGACTGTGGCCATACGAATGAGGGTAACAATTTGATGAATAGCGTCAAGGAGTTGGGTCACTCCCATGCAAATTCCGGATACCAACACCCATTAATGGATCACACCGAGGCAATATCACAAACGAGCTATAAAGTTTCGGAGCAAAATAGAAAACGTCAATATAGAGTTGGACTCAATCTTTTTAATAAGAAACCAGAGAGGGGTATCACCTATCTTATCAGGCAGGGCTTTCTTGAGAATAGTCCACAGGGAGTCGCTCGATTTTTGATCACAAGAAAGGGACTTTCCAAACAAATGATTGGCGAGTATCTCGGCAATTTGCAGAATGCCTTCAACATGGCTGTTTTAGAGTGAGTTTTATTTTTTTCTAAAAAAAAAAAATATTCTTCTCTAGAAAAAAAAATTCTTTTCTAAAAAAGAAAAGGATTTTTTTCTAAAAAACGAATTCTTTAAATTTTTATTCAAACAAATTTCCGTTTGATTGAATTTTTATTTAATTAAAGTTTTATATAATTTAATTTAAGTTTGATAGAAGTTTTAATCATTTATCAATTATTTTTAAACGTTTTTTAATCGAATTTCTCTTTTTAGCAAATTTTTATTTATCTGAATAGTCATTCAGCCGGATTCGCGCTTAGAGAAATATTTATTTCCTAAATAGTTGTAAACTACAATTTATTTAAATATTGATTTCAAATTGGACTAAATTTAGATAAAACGAAATATTTTCTAAAAATAACTTTGCTTTCGAAAGAACTTTTAATTAGTTGAATTTTTATTTTTCGCATTATTATTTATGCGATTTTCCACTTTATCAAATTTATATTTATCAAGAATTGGATTTTTCAATTCGAAAATAAGTTTTTTGACAATTATTTAACCGAATTTTTATTTAGTTGAATTTCGATTTAGTCAAAGACTAATTTTAAAGAAACAAACCAACCAAATAAAGAGATTTTTTGGAATTTTTTAATCGAATTTATTTTAATTTCATTTCATTTATAATTTTTATGTAATTTTAATTTAGTAGAATTTGTATTCAACAGAATTTTTATTCTTTAATATAATAAAAATGAATAATAGAAGAAATTGATAAAATTTCACTTTAAGGAAATTTTCAAAATTGACAATATTCGTTTCGGTAAAAATGGCAATTTTGTGAAATAAAAATTGAGCTAAACGAAAACTCTCACAAAGAGCAAATTCAATGAAAAATTGAATTGATTCAACAATTAGATTCGATAAAATTTGCAATTCTGCATAAATAGTAAATAAAGAAATCAATTCATCTAAATAAAAGTTCTCATAAAAGATAATTTTTCCGAAATGACAATTCGCCAACGAGCATTTCTATTTTATAAACTTCCGTCGAATAATGATTACCGCAATAATATTGTTTGCCTATAAATTTCCAATAGAAAAATATTTCTATTCAAAACAAAAAAGCGATCTTTTTTTCTTCTAAACTTCTAATTACAGTATAACAATAGCATTCACTCTGGTCAATTATTTTTTCCATTGAATTGAAATTAACCCAGAACTTTCTCATTCCAACAATAAAATCACTCGCACACCGTATAATTAACAATCGCGTTTTAATGTTTTCTAAAAAAAAATACCCCCCTTTTTTTGTTTACAGATGTTTCTCGCACGAATTGGATCTTTCCGGAATGCAGGTTGACGTTGCACTGCGAAAGTTTCAGACCTACTTTAGAATGCCAGGCGAAGCTCAAAAAATCGAACGATTAATGGAGGTGTTTAGTCAACGTTATTGTCAATGTAATCCCGATGTAATATCGAGGTTACGTTCGGCCGATACAATATTTGTTCTTGCATTCGCAATTATAATGCTCAACACGGATCTGCATACGCCGAACCTGAAACCAGAGCGTCGAATGAGAATGGAGGACTTTATTAAAAATTTACGCGGTATTGATGATTGCGGTGATATTGACAAGGATATTTTAATTGGCGTTTATGATAGAGTTAAGGCAAATGAATTTAAACCCGGTTCGGATCATGTGACGCAAGTTATGAAAGTGCAAGCGGGTTTTGTTGGCAAGAAACCAAATATGGCGCTACCACATCGTCGATTGGTGTGCTATTGCAGATTGTATGAAATTCCCGATATCTATAAAAAGGAACGATCTGGCGTTCATCAGAGGGAGGTGTTTCTATTTAATGATTTGTTGGTGGTGACGAAAATTTTGGGCAAGAAAAAAGGACGGCCAACATATACGTTTAGACAGAGTTTTCCGCTTTGTGGAATGGTCGTCACGCTCTTTGAAGTTCCTCGTAAGTTTACGTTTATTTATTACATTTTTAATAAATTTCATTTATTAAATGAATAGATAAAATAAATGCTATCACAGGTTAGGAAAATCAGGAAAATTTCAGGAAATTTTTTCAAAAGTATCTACTAGAAAAATAGAAAATTTCCAGAAATTATAAAAACAATAAGTATTTTTGGTCTACAAATTTTTTTTTATAAATTGTTGATCATTTTTAAATACTTTCATACTCGAATACAATAATTAAATAATAATTAACGATTTATGTACAAAATTATTTAAATTTCAAATAATCGAAGAGTTAAACAGTTTAATATTTTTGTTTAAATTATTGATTATAATTAACTTAGAAAAGAGTTTAGTTAAAAGCAGTTGCCATTTTTAGATGTAATAAATTCAAAAAAATGTTTTTAAAATAACATTTTTAAAAGTTTCAATAATTGCTGTGAAAAAACTTTTATAAACAAATAATTGAAATTTCTTTGGAAATAATTGAAATTTTCTAAAATTCTATTTAAAATTATTGAAATTTCCCAAAAATTCTAGGCAAAATAATTGTATTTTTTTAAAGAATTTTATTGAAATATTTTTAAATCAAATTTTTGCTTCAAAAAAATTTCTTTTTTTAATAATTGAACCCCTGTGGATTTTTTTTAGCAATCAGGGAAAAATTCAAAATTCTTTTTGGAAATCAGGAACATATCAGAACAAATGTAAATCAAATTTTTGTGACAACTCTATTACGCTTCTTTTACTTTTACTTTAAACCATTTTAAATACCTATATTTTATTTTTAAATAAAAATTTTTTATATTTACAATAATCACACTTTGTTTCAATTTTTTTCTCATCTGATTTAAATTTAAATTGAAATTAACAGGAAAAGCATGAGAATAATGAATGGAAAACTCCGAAAAAGCGGGAGTTTTTCAACGAAACCAAAATAAAATTGAAATTAGAATACAAATATGAAATGAAAGAAAAATAGAAAATTGAAATAAAAGATTAAAATAAAATTAGAAAATGTAATTAAGATTATAATTAAATGAAAAGAGTTTATAATGAAATGATTAAAAAAAAATAATTAATGATTTTTTTCTTAATTATTGCAGATTATCCTTATGGTATAAGACTGTCGCAACGTGTCGATGGGAAGGAATTGGTGACGTTTAATGCACGTAATGAGACCGATCGATACAAATTTGTCGAGGATTTGAAGGAGTCCATTAGCGAAATGGATGAAATGGAGACTTTGAGAATTGAGACCGAATTGGAACGACAAAAGAGTAGTAGAGGAACGAGGGGCAGTGCAGAGAATCGCGATTCAGGTGTTGCCGACGTGGAGGTTTGTCCTTGTCCCGGTTCCTGTTCTGAGAGATCAGAAACGACTGATATGGACAACCATTTGAAGAGATCTGCACTCAGCAATTCACTTCTCGATATCCACGAACAATGTGAGTTATATTTTTCACAATTTTCACTAAGAATCAATTTTTCCAGAAGTAAAAATTCCACATTTCCTCTCTTATGGAAGGAATTATTAAATTTATCAATTTCATGTAAATTATTTTTAGAAATCAAATGAAAACACTGTTATATAAAATAGAAAAATATTTTTACTTATAAATCGTTGATTATAAACGTTGCGAATATTTTCAGATCAATATGAAAACGTAAATTAAAAACTTTTGTACACGGATTTATTTTCCGTCAGCTGGCAATAAATGTAAATAATAAATAAAAATAGAAACTGATTTTAAAAATGAAAGGTAAAAAATTAAGAAAAGAGAGTAAGAAAAAAATTTAAAATTTAAAATTAAAACTGTAATTGAAAATATTAAATTTTTCCGTTAATTTGTTTTCAGTCGCCGGTGAAAAGCCGCAGCGTCGCGGTAGTGTCGGTTCATTGGACAGTGGAATGTCAATTTCATTTCAATCGACTTCCGCGAGTTCGATGAGTCAAGGAATGAAACATCATGGACAACATCATTCTATTCATCCGGGAGCGACAATTGCCGGCGTCAATAAAGGCTTATCACAGCAGCCGTCTTTTTTAGGAGGATTATTTAATAAACGTGAGAGAAAATTATCACAATCGGAGGATACCAGTCCCTACAGTCGTACCACCGAAGTCTAAATTCAATTTTTTGACAACGGGTTTTTAGGGAATAATTCTTTTTTCATTTTGACAAACGGGACTTCCTTGGATCTTCCGAGAGTTTAGAGAGTAGAATGTACAATTTTATTAAAAAAAAAAGAAAAGAAAAAAATATTAGTTGAACGGAATTGAAGATGCTCGTTTAACAGTCTCACATTCTAATTCATTTTTTTTTAATTTCTCATTCATTGATAAAACAAAAATTGTTTTTTCTTTAGGTGTGTTTCAACGAGTGCATTTTCTTTCCTTTTTGTTTTTGTACCGAAAAAATTTTAGAATCATACGAGAGCAATTTTTTTCTAGTCATACATTATTGTAAATATAAATGTCTCCTACCGGGGGTTAATAATTGCATCACAATGTTTTTTTAGAGTAATTCCATATATTTATATATAGTCGATGATTTTTTAAAAATTTTTTTTCTTTGCCACGCTTTTTGTTTTTAATATAAAGAAAAAAAGACTCTGGCACAAATGACTTTTTTTTAAATTACACGAAAGAGATGAAAATTATTATTGATTGGGCAGGATCCAATCAAAAAAAAAATTGTCCGAACATGGAGTGAAACTTTCGATTATTCGGGCATAATTTTCTTGTGTATAGTATTTATTCGCCTAAATAAGATATTTGGCTTTTATTTTTATTTTTTATTAATTTATAATCTGCGGTATAAATATGTGAATAATTTTTAATGTTCATGCGCATAATTCATTGTATTTTTTTTTCATTGACTTTAAATTATCATGTCATTTAAAGATTAAAAAACAATTGTACATATAAATAATTAACTTTGCAAAGGCTAATTTTTCTTTTTTTTTGACTTTTATGTGTCAAAAAAAAAATAGATATTAAGACGTACTAAAAAGGAAAATAAGTAAGTGGCGAAATTGATTGTTTTTCTTTTCAAAAAAAGAAAAAGAAAACAAAAAAACTTTGCTCCTAAATGCCAAACGAAACTGGTCCCTAAGTCTTATTAATATTTACAACCATTTTTGTAAAACACATTGCAGTATTATAGAATTATCTCTGAACACCGAACGCACTGATGTTTCTTGCGAAAATGAATTTTGACGAAATGACAATTTTAGTGAAGCAAATTTATATTAAAAAAAGGAAAATAAAAGAAAACACCAAATTGTTAACAATTGAAAAAAAGTGATTTTTTTCTTTAATAATTTTGGCCTCTTCTTTAAAGAATTTTGTCTAAAATTATAATTATATAATATTCTTTAGTGATTATAAATTTCGTTATTTCGTGTAATAAAGACGTTTTTTTCATAAAATAAGAGGTTCTAGCATGAAATGTAAAAAAAACGTTTTTCTACTGCCAAAGTAATAAAATTAAAAATTTGTGATTGAAATAACGAAACGAATTTCTCTCGCTAAATAAAATACGCAATTTTATTCACTATAATGCGTTCTTTTATCAATGTGTAAATATTCTTACTGATTGTATTACAAAAATAGGTATATCATTAATAAAATAATAAAAATACAACCGAATCTCAAAATTCGATAAATGGAATTTTTTTACACAATATTCCGTCTCTAATTTATTATTTGCGAGAAAAAGAAAATTTAATAAAAATTGTTCAAAATTGAAAAATTAAATAAAATTGCGATTTGTGAAAATTGAAATTTTTTACGATTTTAAAGAAATGATTTTCTTTTCAAATTCTGGGATTAACTTTTCATTATTAAATTTTTAACAAGAAGTACTTTCGTAATTGGAAAATAAGAATTATAAAGAAACATTTTTTAAAGTAACAAAAGTCAATAAAATTCATATTTGTACTAATTGCTGAAAAAACAAAATAAAATACTATTAAATAAATTTTAATCGCAATTGTTTAAAAAGATAAATGATTCTAAAAAAAAGTGGTCAATTTTAATAATCAATTCTTGGTAGTTTATTGTAGTATTCTTAAAATAAAAAATGACAAGCAAACAAAATATATCGAACGAAAAAGACTGTCGTTTAGTGATTTAATTTTTTTTGCAACTGGAAAAAATATTTGTTTCAAGAAAAAGAAAAACAAAATTTCAAATGTCCAAAAAACAAGAAAAAAAATGTTTTTTCAAAAATGATTAGAAAATGTTTCTTGAAAAACAAGAAACAATTAAAATGCCAGCCATATGTTGACAATATAAATTCACGCAAGTTAACAATAAGTCACTGAAACGTCAAACATTTTAATGATATTTAAGTAATTTAGCGATAATTGTAAATTATTATCATTGTAAATATATTATTAAAACGCCGGAATGAATATGAAAACGTTCGCATTACCGATAAAAAAAAACTTATCCGCAAGAGAAATTCGTAAATTGTAAATCGTCAACTAATAAAAAGAAAATTAAGGCCTATAATAATAGTTGTAATTTTTTAAAAATATCCTTTATCTGTTCTTGAAATTTTGATAATTTAAAAAAACATATCTCTAGATTAATTATTTTTCTTTGACAATCTTAAATCATTGTACTAATTTTGAGGTTATTTTTCTTTTTACTTATAAATTAATTAATAAACTTAATTTTCTGTCTTTAAACCACACATCAGTTCCTATTAATTAATTTAGAAAAAAATGAAAACTTAAACATCAGCGATTTATATTGAGAGTTGTTCCTCTTTGTCTATTTTAATTAGAGGTGTGCAAAATTCGAATCGAAAGAAAATTCGAATCGAAATACCAATTCGAAGTTTCGAGTTTCGAATTTCGAATTGGCCGATTCGAATCGAAAGAAAATTCGAATCGAACTACCAATTCGAAATTCGAAGTTTCGAATTTCGAATTGGCCGATTCGAATCGAAAGAAAATTCGAATCGAACTACCAATTCGAAATTCGAAGTTTCGAATTTCGAATTGGCCGATTCGAATCGAAAGTAAATTCGAATCGAACTAGCCAATTCGAAAATTGGAGTTTCGAATTGTACAACTCAACTCGGTTACTTTATTCGCACAATTAATTATTCTATAATTTTAATATATAAATAACATACAAATACCAATAACGTGTTGAAAGTGAAGAAAATATTTCGCTTATTGTTTGTAGTACATAAGGAAAAAAAATTATTTTGCAAATTTTTTGCTCAATTTTTAAAATAAATTTTCATTTATTTTAACAATTTAATAGCTAATATATAATTAAAAACCGCTGCTAAGTTGTATATTTTTTATAATTTTGGTACTCATTTCATGAACACTGCATTTCCTCATAGAGATAAAAATAATAGAAATATATTAATTACTTTTTATAAATATGGTAAAAGTGATTGGATTTTGGATCAATCAATGTATTTTTAAATACCCTACAAGATATTTACAATAATTTAATAGTTAAACAAAAATTTTTAAACACAAAAGTTGAGAAAATGTCATTTTCCAAAATTTTTGGTTTTTAAAATACCAATGATTTCGAAATTTATTATCGAATTAGGTTTAAAAATAGGTTAGGTCAATCGAATCGATTCTTAATGCTCTACAATTTGGTAACGATAATTTTAAAGTTACTTCTACGTTTTTCAACAAAATTTTCAAAAAGTCTCCGGTTAATATGGACGAAAAATGATGAACAAAAAGTTTTGAACGTTCAAATGAACGAAATATTTTTTGTTAAAAATATTTTCATAGATTATTGATTACAATTCAAATTAAAAACTCAAATTTTACATTTAGAAACATTATAATTAATTTGCTTAATGGTGACGCAAAATTATAGTAACAAAAATTTGATTTGAAGAAGAAATAAATAAATTTCGTTCATTTGAACGTTCAAAACTTTAACCTCCTGAAAAATGTTCAATTAGGGACCAAAAGATGCATCTAAAAAAACTCTACAAAACTAAAGAAAAACATTTATAGGTGTCCTAACATTTTTTTAAAGTTATGGGCAAAAAACGTTTTTTTGCAAAATTAAAAATTCAAAAAAAAAATTAGTTAAACTTTATTAATCTATCATAAAGTACTTTCATATGTGGACGTCCACATGAAAAGAGCCCATATTGTCGGTTCTAGTTTTCGAGATAATCGCAATTTAGTAATTTTGGAGCAAAATCTTAATTTTTTTTTATTTTTTATTATCTATCTACATGCTTTGGCAAGTCGAATCAAGCGGTTTTCATTAATTTATCGATAATTTAACTGTTTGATTTCATTGGTTCTTTAGAAAAATGAAAAGGGCCCATTTTGTCAGTCATTTGCAAAGGTAATCCGTATTTTAAAAATGGAGGTGCGGAAAAATTTAAAACCTCTTGATTTTTCATCTCTAAGGTGTCCTGAACTGAAAACAATTCTTATCTGAATAACTTCCCAAAAGAACCAGAGATATTGATGTTAGAGTCTTTTTTCTCGTAATTGTCGAAATGAAAATTTGGATATTGCGTCAATTTTTTCATAATAGAGACTGTAAAAAATTTTTTAATAAGTTTAATATATATTTTTTTTCTTTAAATGACACAATAAAATTGTACCTAATCATTAATCTTGTAAAAAAATGGTTTTTTAATAGAAAAACTGTCCTTTTTAAAAAAGGGCCCATATTGTCGGTTTTTAAATTAATTAGTTAATTAAGGGGGGGGGGTGGTTCTAAAAATTTAAAACCTGTTGGTTTTCTATCTTCAAGGTGCCCTGAACTGGAAACAATGCTTATCTGAATAACTTCCAAGAAGAACCAGAGATACAACAATTGGTTGGTATCGCAATCTTTAATTTCGTTTTTCTCGAAATGAGGTTTATTTGGCGTTCTAAACTTTAAAATTCCGTAACTCAGCGAATTTTTAACCAAAAAAGTTCTGAGACCACTCAAAATTTAATTTCATTTAATTTCATTTAGTAACAAATAGTTACTGTTAATAAATACAATTTCCAATTCTAAGAATTATTTTTTTATATAAAAATTGTAATTTAATGTTTCAAGAAAAATTGAAGAATTTTTGTATAATTTGAAAAAATTATTTTTTGTGGAATTTTAATTTATAAATAGGTATGATTATAATTCTTAAAAATTTTAATTGTTTTAATTTAAAATTTTTAATTAGTTTGTGTATATATTTGAATTTTCGGAAATATTGAAAATATTGAAAATAATTCAATTCTTTGCAAGAATTCAATTATTTTCATAAATAATAACGATTTTCGTAAAAATTAAATTATTTTTAAACAAAATTTTAATAAAATTTTACGAATAAATACAATTATTTTCTAAAATTTTAATAAATACTTCAAAACAATTTAATTATTTTCTTAAATAGAAATAGATTTTAATGTTTGCAAAAATTCAATTATTTTCAAAAAAATTTCAAGAATGATTTCAATTTTTTTCTCATTTCGTTATAAAATCTTTGCAAAAATTCAATTATTTTTAATACAATTTTAATAAAATTTCAAAAATTTTCAATTAAAATTCTTTAAGAATTCTTTGAGATTTCTGTCAAAATAATTGTGCAAATAAAATAACCGAGTTGAGTTGTACAATTCGAAACTCCGATTTTCGAATCGGCCAATTGGTAGTTCGATTCGAATTTACTTTCGATTCGAATCGGCCAATTCGAAATTCGAAACTTCGAATTTCGAATTGGTATTTCGATTCGAATTTTCTTTCGATTCGAATTGGCTAATTCGAAATTCGAAATTCGAAACTTCGAATTGGTATTTCGATTCGAATTTTCTTTCGATTCGAATTTTCTGTTGTCGAGTCGAATAATTTTCGATTTGACTCGATTAAATGCACACCTCTAATTTTAATTATAAAAATTATAAACAAAATTCACAAAATTTTTTGCTGCTTACGGTGTATTTCTTCAGAACGCGTAATTTTTGTATTATTAAATTTGTAAAGACTAATAATCCTGCAGATTTTTTAAAAATAAATTTAGTCTATTTTTTCATTCATATGTAATTATACTTATACATATAATATCTATAATAATAAACATAAAATTATATTTACTTACACGAGATTGTATTTTCACCACATAAAATTTTCTTTTAAATTTTAAAGGAAATTGAAAAGGAAACCAGAATAATTTATAAACAATTTTTTCCCCGGAAGCAGGCGTACAAACAAAGTGCATGAATTCTTAATTACCGGACAAATATATCCTGATTGGCTGTAAGTGCGTCCATTTATGCTGAATTCGAAAATTCGCGCCCAATTCAACTAATGAGAATTGCTTATTTTGCGTGAGCGACTAATGTGTATTCGCCTTAACGATTGTGGATTGGCATTACTTTTTGCGCTCGAATACCGCAGTTTGTTGAAAGCGTGTTGATGTAGTAAACATTGTTCGTAATTAATTAGTCAAATTTATATAATCGAAGAATTACAAGTGTTCTTGCAGGAGTTTAATATTAAGTAAAAAATTAACTTTATTTCGTTGATCATATGGCGATTTCCGGGCGTAAAAAATCTTTATTGTTTTTATAATTTCTAGACGCCGCGCCGGGTCGCTTCTCTGTTAGACAATCGCGACAAATTATTGTTCTTTTGCATTCGATAATTAAATTATTAACTTGTATTATTAAGTCATCAGAGCAAATAAAACATTGTTCAATGGAACTTTTAATCTACATATTTTTTCACTGAAAGTTTCGTGTTGTTATCGACGCCATGTGCTCTTGTATACATTAGGCCACGTGTCGGACGTCAATTTTAATTTCCCGATTAGATTTTTTGTTTCGAACAGTAAAGTAATTCTGAATTTTTGTAAAGAAGTTTATAAAAATAGTGTGCTTAATAGTGGAATTGTTTGTAGAGAATGCAGTCGCAAAATTGTTAAACATTTTGGAAACAAATGAACTGACAGCATTGTTAGATTTTACAAGAAATATTAATGTATTTAGACATGAAAAAACATTTCTGTTTACTGTTAATTATAAATAGTTTTTGGTAAAGTGTTGAGAAATTATATTTTGATCCTGTTGCGCGTTGATCGAAAGTGTGCGGAGAAATATCAAAATGGAAATTGTACGTCACCCGGAACGGCCTGATACTTGTATTTATTATCTACTTTTCAAATATCCATCTACAAAAAGGCGATCAAAGAAAAGTTAGTAACTTTTTAATTTTCTTAAAGTTTTGAATCTTCACATGAACGAAAAATTTGTTTCTCTTAAAATATTTTGGACAGCCAATATTTTTAACAATTACTATACTGAAAAAGAGAAACAATGTAAAAATAACATTTATTTAGTACAATTCGTTAATCCTTATTAATAAAATCAGACTTTTGTCTGTACATTGCATAGAATTCAAAATTTCTATTATATTCCTTATTTTTACACTCTAAGGAATGCGAAAATACTATTAAGAGAATTATGTGTGTATGTGTATATGTGTGTATGTGTGTATGTGTGTATGTATGTCCGCAAATTTTCGACCGCGTATCACGGAAAAACGGTTCGATCGTTTGAAGTGAAACTTGGCAGTCTTTTAGGCATTAGCCTAACTTAAAATCCTAGCGATAGTAGATTAAAAAATATTAATATGGACGAAAGTTATGCCATTTTTTCAAAAATTCGAAAATTCGAAATTTTTAGTTTTTTAATATACTTTAGTGAATTGTACTTAAACTTGGTACAGGGTTAATTTTAGTGTTTCTTATTAAGATTTAATCGTCAGAATAATAAAATTTTGAATAACAAATAAAAAGTGTTAGATTTAAATATTGAAAAATTAAAAAATTAAAAGTTTAAAAATTGAAATTTTTTTGTAATTAATTTTTATACGGTTGTATTTCTTAGGTCAACAATAAAAATTTGTTGTTGAAATCATAAGTTTACTTTCTTAAAAAAATTCTATTAGGTCAGAATATTAACAATATCCATATAATTAATATGAGACTTTTGTCAGTATATTGCACAGAATTCAAAATTGCTATTATATTATATTAATTAATGATCAAAAAATGAAAAACTCAAATTTCATTCTGATGACTAAATTGTAATAAAAAATACTAAAATTAACCCTGTATCAAATTTAAGTAAAATTGATGACAATAATTATTTCAAAAGATTAATTTTGAATTTTAAAAATTTTGATAATATATAGCACTACCTGTCGTACCCGTCTTCGACGGGTTTTAGTTTCTACCAATACATTTAACAATGTTTCTACCAATCTGGAAAATCAAAAATACCCGGGAATTTAATTTCACCGGAAAATTAATAATTAGTAACCATTAGCTATTTCGGTAGTATAATTATACTATTTGAATAGTCTCCACCCTTTAGCAAAAAATCAAAAATTATCAAAAATTCGAGAAACCGAATTTCTTAAAATTTAACATTTTTTTCTTCTCTTTTATATCATTAAGCTTCATTATTTTTGTACTCTTCAAAAATACTTTACTTATATTTAATAGTCTCCACCCTTTGGTAAAAAATCTAAAATTATGGAAAATTAGCAAAAATTCAAAAAACGGAATTTCTTAAAATTCAACATTTTTTCTTCTATTTTATGGCTTTTGGCTTCATTATTTTTGGGCTCTTTAAAAATACTTAACCTAATTTGTTATCTCCACCCTTTGGTAAAAAATCTAAAATTATGGAAAAATAGCAAAAATGCAAAAAAATGAATTTCTTAAAATTCAACATTTTTCCTTCTTTTTATGGCATTTAGCTTTATTATTTTTGTGCTCTTAAAAATACTTTACTTATTCAATAGTCTCCACCCTTCGGTAAAAAATCTAAAATTATGGAAAATTAGCAAAAATTCAAAAAACCGAATTTCTTAAAATTTAACATTTTTTCTTCTTTTTTATGGCATTTAGCTTAATTATTTTGGTTTAATGTAGCAAATTTCTTACTTTACATACTGATCTTTAAATAAAAAACTTTAATAACTTTTCCTGAAAAGCTTGCTTAAAGATTAAAAATCACTATTTTCTTAGAAAAAAGTTGATCTAAAAAAACGAAAAAAAATTTCAAAATACGTCTTTTTTAAAAATTTTATTGTAGAAATGGGTTTTATTTATCTGAAAAAGTTAGCTAATGATAGTTTTGCATTTATTTTACAAAAGATAAAAAATTTGCATTTTTTTGATTTTTCGAATTTTTTGGAAAAATGTCATAACTTTCGTTCAAGTTAATATTTTTTAATCGGATAAGGCTATGATTGTAAGTTACGTTAATACCTAATAGTAATATAATATCTTATTTAAAAGTTTTTATTTCGATCTAATAAAAATTTATTTCGTTTAAATAATTTTATTTAGTTAAATCAAATAAATCTTAATTGGATTAATTAAATAAATACTTGACTCTAATAAATGAATTTATTTAACACAAATAATTTCTAAATTTTATATTTTTTTATGGATTGCTTCTAAACTTTCTATAGTTGAGTATAACATGTTATTTATTAACATTTTAGCATAATTTTGCAAAAAATAATACTTTGTAACTAAAATGGAAATATAAAAATATTTTTAAAAAATCGAAAATTTCTAAATTTTACATTTTTCAATGGATAGCTTTTAAACTTTATATAATTGAATATTACATATTATTTAGTCACATTTTAGCATAATTTTTCAAAAATACTTTCTTATAACGAAGATGTAAGTATAAAAATGTTTTGAATATCAAAAAATTGAAAAAATTATCTTGATACCAATTGCTATGAAGCTTAATTCAATAGTATTTGTGGGCTCTCTGATTTAACTTTTAGAGATATCTTGATCAATGTAAAGACAAAAGTTAAACACGGTGTTTATTTTGGTTTAAAACATTTTCCGGCTTTGTCCAAATTTTTCCTGGTTTATTCGACGGGTGTTTTTTAATAATACATTTAACAGGGTGTCTACCAACCAGAAAAGACGTAAAATATCAGGGAATTTAATGTAACCGAGAAAAACTGGATCTACTTGCTATACAATTAGTTCGAATTAGACTGTACTATAACTCAAAAAACTGGAGGAAATTTTAGATTGATTTTAATACATTATATTGATTGAAGTACTACAAATTGAGAAATATTGTTTTCTGCATTTGAATTAGTTAAAAATAACTAATTTGATAATAAAAAGTCGGTCACTGTTTCAAATGGTATTATTTTCCTAATGAAATAGACAATAGTAACTAATTATTATTTTTTCCCTGTCAAATCAAATTCCCGGCTATTTTCCGGTTTTCTAGGTTGGTAGATACACTGTTAAGTGCATTATCAGAAACTACAACCCGTCGAAGACGGGTACGACAGCTAGTATTTTAATATTTTTCACTGCCAAATGATTCAAATTATTTTTATTTTTAATCTAAATTAAAATTTTGTTTATAATATTGTGTCATGTATTAAAAAAAATTTATAAAGTTTCAAAACGACAGAAGAGTAATAGAGGAACGATGGGCAGTGCAGAGAATCGCGATTCAGGTGTTGCCGACGTGGAGGTTTGTTCTTATCCCGGTTCCTCTTCTGAGAGATCAGAAACGACTGATATGGACAACCATTTGAAGAGATCTGCACTCAGCAATTCACTTCTCGATATCCACGAACAATGTGAGTTATACTTTTCACAATATTATCACTAAAAATCAATTTTTCGAAAATTAAATGTCACATTTTCAAAATGTTTAATTGTTTAATTACGTATATGATTTTTCTACTTAATTTTTAAAAAAATTTACATACAAAAAATATTTAGTTCATTTGAACGTTGAGAATTTTTGGAACTTTAATGTACGCACCGAGTGCGTACAATTAAATTATGAGGGCTCGAACCAGTGAAAGTATTTAAAAATACGGACTTTACGGGCCATTTTAGGACCAATTACTGACAAAAATATAACCGGCATACGAGTCAAATAAGAGAACCTTTTACTTAAAATTATAAATTAAATTGTTTCATATATCTATAAAACATGAAGATATTTCTTCAAGTTATATTATATCAATATTGTTACTGTAAGTTCTTCAAAATTATTCTCATCATTTTGATTCAATTATTTTTTTCTAAAATTTTTAACTAAAATTCTTCTCTAAATAAATTATTTTTAATAATTTTTTAAAAAGTCCTTTGAGAATTTTCAACTCCATTTGTTTACAATTCAATTCAATTCAATTTTTATTGAATAATTGAATTCTTCTTAAAATTTAATTCTCATGAAGAATTTTATTCACCAAATTTTTAAGAATAATTACATTTTTCGAGAAATTCGATTTAAATTGTATTAAAAATAATTGAAATTCTGAGATGAGATTTATTATTTACGAAAATAATTGAATTCTTGTTTAATTTTTATTATTTATTCAATTAATATCTTTCAAACAAATCAAAATCAAAATTCAATTACTTTTAAAATTTCACGCTACATTGCTTTTAATATACAATAATTATTATCTAAAACTTTATCTGAAATTCAAATTTTACATAAATTCTTATTAAAAAGTTCTATGAGAATTCAATTATTTAATTGCAAAAATAAATAATTTATTAAATAATTGAAAACTTCTTTATTGAATTCTTATAAAGGGCATTATAAAATTTTTTAAATAAATTGAATGGGTACAAAGAATTTTATTAAAATTTTTCAAAATAATCGAATTCCTAAGAAGAATTTGATTATTAATTAAAATAATTCAACCCTTGTCATGAATTTGATAAAACTTTTTTTAAATAATTGATTTTTTCCGAAAATTTTTATAAAAATAATTGTGTTTTAAATAATTTCATTCCTGTAAAAATTTTATTATTTATGAAAATAATTAAATGTTTGCAAGAATTTTTTAAAAAAAAATGTGTTTAATACAATTTAAAATTGTCTTAAAAATAATTAAAATAATTTTATAAAGATCATTTTAAATAATTGATTTTTTTCGAAAAATTTTATGAAAATTGTGTTTTAAAATAACTAAATTCCTGTGAAAATTTTATTCTATTTATGACAATAATTCTTATGACGAATTTTATTCAAATTTTTAGGAATAATTACATTTTTCGAGGAATTCGATTAAAACTGTATTAAAAATCATTCTTTCCGAGTCAAATAAGAGACTCGGAAAGAATGATTTTTTTCTCACATATGTATTAAGAATAATTGAAATTCTGCAATGAGTCTTATTATTTATGAAAATAATTGAATTATTGCAAAGAATTTTATAAAAAAGTTGCAAGTAATTGATTTTTTTCGAAAAAATGTATGCAAATTCTATTTTTAATAATTGAATTCCTGTGAAATTCTCATTATTTATGAAAATAATTAAATGTTTGCGTAGAATTTTATTAAAATATTTTTAAATAATTGAATTCTTTTGGAAAATTTTATTAAAATACTAACTGTGTCTAACGGTCAGGGAAGTCATGGAAAAATTTCATTCAAAGTCAGTGAAATATCTATAAATTTCTATAAAAATTAAAATTTTTTTAATCTAACAAAACTTAAAAGATTTTTATTACTATTTGTTTCTATCATTAGATATTAATTTATTGTTAAATATCTTAAATATGTCAGTTACCATATTTTTGTCCCAAGAAAGCAAAAATATAATAATTAGTAAAAAGTCAGGGAATAAAGTCATGGAGAAGTCAGGGAATTTTTTTTCTCAATCTTTGTTAGATACCCTGAATAGTAGTTATTGAAAATCATTTAATTAATTAAGAAAAATTTTTGAAAATATTTAAAATTTTGCAAAGAGTTTTATTAAAATTTTTGGAAATCCTAATTGAATTTCGGAGAAGAATTTTATTACTTTTGAAAATAATTGAATTCGTGCTTTTTCAATCAAATTACGTACTTTATGGACCATTTTTTTTAAACTGACTTTTACGGACTTCAAGCAAATTTACGGACCTAGTTTGAGCCCTGAATTATTAATAAAATTATAAATAATTCAATATATAGACATTTTATTTCATAAATTTAAAATAAATATAACAAAATACAATAATGAAAAAATAAAAAAATGCGACAATTACATTGTATTATGTAAATATAATGAAAATTAATGATTTAAATTTAAATTGATATAAAAAAGTGAACTTAAACGGTACTTTTTGACTTTGTCAATTTTGTCTTCTTTCTCAGTTCTTTTAATTTGTCACGTAAACTGTTTCTTATGTTCACATCCGTCGTTAATTTCCAATCGAATTTTCTTGCATGTGAACGAACGAATTCTGGAAAAAAACATTTTAGAATATTATTGAAAGACTTATTTTTAATTATTAGTGAAACTAAAAACTCACTGAGCATAACTTCCACAGCAATTGTTGGAAGACGTGGCCTTTTTCTATCTTCTTCGTCTGATGCTTTTCCATCTAGTGATGCTTTTCTTAACGCCTCAGAGATAAATAATTCACACATTATTCCTCTAGCTAGAATATTTGCACTTTGAGCACGTGAAGTTATTCTTCTCAATGCCAAACTGTTAATGAATACTCCGCTACTTTCGCCCAATTCAATCACCTGTCAATGTCAGGAATCATCAAAAATAAGAATTAAAAAACTTATATTTAACTTCTAGAAAGCAAAATATTTATATTTATTACCATTTTATTATCGAAATTTTCGGCTTTATTTTTCATCATCCACAAGTCTTCGGGTGCAATTTTATCTTCTTTTATAAGAACATCAATTGGAGTTGATTGTCCTTCTTCCATTTCTTCTTGGAAGGGAAAATAATCTATATAATCGTATTCTTCTTTAATAACCACCATGGGAGAATGTGAATCGTTTTGTATGTTATCTTCATGAGGTTGATTTTCTGCCGCAGTCTCGTAAGCCATTCTCTCACATTCGGGAGACGTTTCTCTATAATTCGCCTCTTCTAGACTCTGAATAGAATATTGGACATGAAAGAAAGTTGTAATTATTTAAAAATCAAGGAAACCCACAAAAAATTAGTAAAAACGAGACTAAACAAAGAAAACATGAAAAAACAGAAAGCAAGAAAGAACCAACCAACAGGCTTCGCACTCATCTACTAAAACCTACTATTTACTACTTTTTTTACGTTATACATACTAATATTTGAATACTTTTTCAGATTCCAGTTACTAAAAGCTACTATTTCTGCATTTATTTAGAATTTCCACTACTTTAAATTCGCTAATACTAGAAATAAAACAATTATTCTCAAAAATTATAATCAAATTCTTTAAAATGATTCAATTATTTTCAAAAAATATTCGAAATTCAATTATTTTCAATATCTAGTATTTTCATGAAATTTCGCAAAAGAATTCAATTATTTAAAAAAAATTGATAAAGTTCATCCAAAATTCAATTATTTTCATAAATAATAAAGTTTCCAGAAGAATTCAATTAATTTAGAATAACATTTTCAAAAAAATTTCGAAAAAATCAATTACCTATTTAACAAAATTTTTATACAATTCTTCACAATAATACAAATACTTTCACTAATAATAACATTTTTCATGGAAATTCAATTTTTTAAAAAAAATTTTGATAAAATTCTAAGCTAGAATTCAAATATTTTCATAAAAATAATAAAACTCATCGAAGAATTTCAATTATTTTCAATACTATTTTAAATTAATTAATCGAAAAATTGAATTATTTTCACAAATAAAGTTTTCATAATATTTATTATATTATGAAGAATTAAATTACATACAGTAGAGACCCCATTATCCGGACTAATGGATGCAGGCACCTATCCGGATAATCGAAAAAGTACAAAATAAACTAATTTTCGATTTTTAATTTTAGGTATTTATTTCAATATGTATTTATATAAGACTGAAACGAAATAAGATTTATAAAGTCAAGATTAATAAATGTTTAGTAAGAAATATTTCAAAAGATTTACATAAATATTTTCTTAAAATCATTAAAATACATTAAAACGCACGAAGTTGAAGTCCACAACGTTGATCAACGAACAAAATTTGTTTAATCTATTCCAATATTTATTTTAATTCAATATTTAATTGTATAACAATTATTATCAGATCATAAACATCGCAGTCTATTTTTTTCTAAATATTTTTATGGCAATATTGCTGCGTTATCTTTTATTAATTTACTAAGTGCACAATTTTTTTCGTTGATAAACGTTGTGGACTTCAATGCCGTAAAACACAACATTTCGTGTGAAAATTCAAAATTTATGGTATTACATGCTTATACGCTTTAAAATTTTTAAAAAAATATTTGAAATCTGTCCGGATAATCGAAAATCCGGATAATGGGGTTTCTACTGTATTTTCAAAACTAACAAAATTTTTCAAAGAAATTCAATTCTGTTTAAACATTTTAATAAAATTTTTTGCAATAATTCAATTATTTTCATAAATAATAAAATTCATCGCAGGATTTTAATTATTTTTAATACAATTTTACAGGAATTGCTCAAAAATTTTTTTTTAATTTCTTTGGAAGAATTCACAGGAATTCAATTTTTTTCAAATATTTTAATAAAATTGTTCGAAAGAAATCAATTATTTTAAATATAATTTAAATTAAATTATTTTAAAATATTCTCTCTTTGCAAAATTCAATTAATTTTACAAATAACAATATTCGTCACAATAAGAATTTAATTATTTTTAAAAGTAATAAATTTCTGCTTGGAAATTCAATTATTTTAAAAAATTCTAATAAAATCGTTCGCAATAATTCACTTATTTTCATAAATAATAAAATGTTTTTTAGGAATTTAATTATTTTCAAGAAATTTAACAAAATATCACATAAGCATTCAATTATTGTCAAAAATTTTAACAGAATCTTTGTAAAATTTAATTATTTTTAAAAATTTTTCGCAACTCAATGATTTTCAATTAATGAATTCAATTATCAGGGTGGCCGCAAGATTGACTTTATCAATTTCCCTGACATTTCCCTGACATTTTACTGACATGACAACGAATTTCCCTGACAAACATTTTTTTGTTTAGAGCAAAAAATGTATTGCATGACCGTCTTAATTTCTTTAATTGCCCTGACAAATTAAAATATTTCCTGACATTTCCCTGACTTTACTGACAAAAATTTTTTTTCCTGACATTTCCCTTCTTCTTTAACTGCCCTGACAAAAAAATTTTTCCTGACATTTCCCTGACTTTACTGACAAAAAATTTTTTTCCTGACATTTCCCTGACTTTACTGACAAAATATTTTTTTCCCTGACTTTACTGACATGTGGCCACCCTGATTATTTTAAAAATTTTATAAAATTCTTCGCAAGAATTAAATTATTTCTTATAAATACAGTGTGGCCACATGTCAGTAAAGTCAGGGAAATGTCAGGGAAACAAATTTTTGTCAGAGAAATTAAGAAAATTGAGAATTTTTTCGACTTATTTTCAAAAATTGTGACTTTTTTGACTTTTCTTTCAAACATTTCAAGTATTCATTTACAATTTTTAAAAATCATTTTTTGAAAAATTTTAATTGCAAATTTTGAAAATAATTGAAATATCAAAAATTTTAATGAAAAATCTTTAAAGGTAAATTTAAAAATGAAAATTAATGAAAATTAGGTAGCTTCTAATTTTTTAAAATTCAATGTTTTCAGTATTTTCAATTACATATTTCCAAAAATTCAAATACATACAAAAATAATAACATTTTAGAATTCTTTTTAACATTTTGGAGAATACAATCAAGTTCAAAATTTTTAATTAAAATTTTAAAAAAAGTTAATTAGTTTTATAAATTATAAAAAAAAATTTTAAGAAATTCAATTATTTTCGAAAAATTACATTAAAATATTTTTAAAAACTAATTATTAAAATTGTTTTATTAATAATTTTTTAAGATTCAATTATCTTCTAACGATGTAAAGAAAAATTTATGAAAATTTACTTATTTTGGAGTTATTGAAATTTTTGAGAAATCATGGTTCTGTTTATAATTAAAATTCTTCAAAAATTTGATCATTTTTATTTATATTTTTCAAAAATTCAATTATTTTTAAAAGATTTTACCAAATTTTAATTGTTTGGAAATTATTCAAAATTGAAAAACTATTATATTTATATAATTACAATTATTATAAAAAATTTAATTTTTGTTTTTAAATAATTAAATTCTAGAAGAACTTTTGGGAAATTATTTTAATTAATTGATTCAGAGATGAAGTTTACTTGAAAATTATAAAAAATAATTGAATTCAGGAAGGGTTATAATTGTAATTTTTAGAAATTTTTCAAATTCATAAATTTTACCCATTTTCCGTAAACATTCATATTTTCCTGTAAAAAGAATTTTGTCAGGGAAAGTAATTTTAATGTCAGCAAATTGTCAGGGAAATTAATAAACTGAAACTTGTGGCCACCCTGAAATATTAAAATTCTTTAATAAATACTACAATTCGTTGCATGAATTCAATTTATTAGCAGCAGGATAAGAAAGAAGTAGATATTTTTTATGAAAATTAGGATAAAGTCAGGAAAATAAAATATAGAATGGAATTTTTGTCAGTTTTGTGAAGTGCCTAAAACGTGTTTTTTTGTCGTCAAGTTTAATTTTTCGAATAAAAATTGTTTACTACTTCTTTTAGTTTGAAAGCTACTTTTCCCTACTTTTTTAAAAATTAATTATCGAGTGCAAAGTCTGAAAAAATCAATTTTTAAATAATCCTAATTAAAATTTTTACATACCTTTTTTATTTCTAAAAGTTCCTCATAGGCTTTTTGTGCATAACTCAGAGCACTGTCAACCTTAGCCAATAAGTACTCGTTTCTTTCCTTTTTTGCATCTTTTTCTAATTTTATAACCATTGCAATATTCCCTTCGTTTCTCTCTTTGTTATATTTTTCACTATCGTCTATTTTTTTCAATCTATTGCTCATTTCGTTTTGTTATGATTTCCTTCACATTCTAAAATAAGATTTTTTTCCTATTTAGAACAATTTATTTGAAAACATTCGGAAAAATCAAACATTTAAATTTGAGAAATTATTCAAATAAAAGCGAAATTTCATAAATATTTATCTATGAAATTTAGAAATATTATAAATAATAGAGAATAATATAGAATACATATAAAAATGTAAATAAGACTTACGAAAATTCAATGTTAACGAGATGAAAAAATTTGATGAAAAATGATAAATAAGTTCACGGTTTTTTGGTTTTTTTTTCTTCCTCTGAGTATAGCAACAAAGAATCTGATTTTCTTTTTTTTAACAAATATATTCGTTCGTTTTTTGTTTTCTCTGCGAGAAAAACAATACTGATGTTAAACAATCACTATCCTCTTCGTTTAGATCGTTTAAGGGGATGTCAAAGTCGATTGGATTTTTGCATTGAGCTTCAATGGGAAAATCGCATCGACTTTGACATCCCCTTAATAGATGATTGGGAAAAAATAAAATATCGCAACACAATAAACGGAGATATTTTGACTTTCACGGACAATTTTCATAAATTATAGACCGTAAATTATATTTATTTAGCCTTTTTTTGGAAAATTGAAATAATTATTTACCGGCTTTAAAAGTTTAGCTTTATTTTTATATTTTTAGGTTATGTTTCTCTTTTCTAACTTTCGATTGTCGTTGTAGTTTGAAATTAAATAAACAGATGGCTCTGAATTTTCGAACCAACTGTTGGAAACAATGTGTTATGAGTTATCCGAGGATTGATTCTTGCTTAAGCTTTGTTCTCTGTTCTGATAATTAGTCAGTGGTAGTTCAAGGTTCCAAGTTGCTGGTTCAACTTTTAGTGGCCCTTCTTGATTTTTACAAAAAATTCGGTAGATATTCATAACTAAGAAGTAAAAATCGAGTAGAGCAATATAATTAAAATGAGAAGAGACCGTTGTGAGCAAAAAAAGAGAGAAAAGAATAGAGGAAATTAGAGAAAATAACCTAATAAAATTCCAAAGGGGAGTCATAAACACGCGTTTATAAAGTAAAATTTGGTGTAATTGCTCGTATAATCTAGTCACTATTGTTAAATATTTATGAATAATTCAGTAATGCATTTCGTCTTCCTTTGTACTGAATCCAATGTAGGATTTCGTGATTTTTGAAAATAGATAGATATTTTTCTGTGTTAACAACGGTCTCATTTTCATATTACACACGCGATGCAAGTGTTATTTCTTTTTCCTTCTTTTTTTGGGGGGGTGAGATTAGGTTAGGTCGTATCCGGAAAAACAGCAGAGGCGCTGCGGACTTTCGTGTGCGCGAGAATAATCAAAATCAATGCAATAGTGCAGTGTTCCAAAGATTGTCTTTGCAGGTGTTTTTTTGAAATAAGTATTTTTTCTTTTGTTTGTTCGAAAATATAAACATTCATCATGTCGAACGGATTAGCAGTGTTAAATAATAGGCAGGCAGTTCAAAATTTGAGTAAGTTATTTTTTCATTTTTATATGGCGTCGGGAAAAGTCTTTTAAAGAACGGTTAAATTATATATATATATATATATATGTATACATTTTTCCAGCCTGTAACGCTTCGCCAATTGTCTCCACGACACAAGGACAAGGAAAACACTCGGCGAGGGTGAGTTTTTTTTTCATCGTCGACGACGACTAATTAGAGCTTGCTATTTTTAGATTTCTTTTGTTTTCCTTTTTTCCTCGGGAATGAAAGACCCTTATTTTGCATTTCAGATGGAACAATCGAACATCTCGCACGCTGCTCTTAAAAGAAATGCTGATATTGCTCTGGATGGTTTGTTTTTTAATTTTTCATAGTTTTTTTTTTTTTAATTGAAAATATTTTTTTATTGCTTCCTCATGAGGAAGTATTTAATTAGGGTTGCCACAGGTCAAGAGAGTCAAGGAATTCAGGAAAAATTCAGGGAAATCAGGGAATTTTATTAAAAGTACTGGAAAAAATTTAAGTTTAGATTCATAAGAAAAGTTTCAATTTTTGTGTCTTTTTTGTTTGTCTCATAAACTATGAAAATACCATGAATTCTAATACAAAAGCTTTAATTTTTTCTATTTTTGACAATAATTTCTTTTTAATTATCATAATTCATGAAGAACTATCATAAAATTATTATAACTCATAAACTATTTAATGAATAATTTTACTTAAATATTTCAAAATCAATTGAATTTTTAAAGAGTTGCGTATAAAATTTTCATAAATAGATGAAAACTTCAAAAGGTTTTAATTTAAAATTTTATAAAATTTCAATTTTAAATAAATTTAATTATGTAGAAATTTTAAAGATCTTAGTTTTTGAAAAATTTAAATAATTAAAATTCTTCTGAAATCAGTTAAATTTTTTTATATATACCTATTTAATTAATTATTAAAAATAATGGATTTATAGAAAAATTTTTGTTAAAAAAACCAAAAAGAAATGAATTTTGAAAAATTTACAATTGATTGCAGATATTCAATTATTTTCAAAAGTAATAAACTTCTTCGCTAAAATTTAATTATGTTATAAAGTTTAAAAAAATTATGGTCAAAATTTAAATTATCTTTATAAATAATAAAATAAAATTCTTCTCCGAAATTCAATTATTTTCAAAAATTTAAATAAATTTCAATTGTTTTCAAAAAATTTCCTCAATTCAATGATTTTTAATACTCTATCTGTTTTAATAAAATTTTCCACAAGAATTTAATTATTTTCATAAATAATAAAAATGTCACAGGAATTCAATTATTTACAAATTTTTAAAAAATTTCTTCGCAATAATTCAATTATTTTCGTAAACAATAAAATTTTTTTTTAGGAATTCAATTATTTTCATAAATAATAGAACTCATCGAGGAATTTTAATTATTTTTAATACAAAAATTTTAATCGAATTCCTTAAAAAATGTATGCATTTAATTATTTTCATAAATAATAAAAATTTCACAAAAATCCAATTATTTTCATAAATAATATAAATTCATTGCAGTGTTTCAATTACTTTTAATTGAATTTTAATCGAATCGCTTGAAAAATGTAATTATTTTTAAAAATTATTAATTCTTTATTTTTGTATTTAAATAATGGAAATTCTCGTATAATTTTCTAATAAAAATTGATTGAAAAATTAATTTTAATAAAATTCTTCACAGAAATTAAATTTTTTGCATGAATAATCAAATTCGTCCCAAGAATTCAATTATTTTCATAAAAAATAAAATTTTTCGCAAAAAGTGGATTGTTTTTCAAAAATTTTAATAAAATCCTTCTCAAAAATTAATTGTTTTCATAAATTATAAAAGTCTTCGTTGAAATTCAATCATTTTAATAAAATTCTTTTCAAAAATTCAAGTATTTTCATAAATAATTCAATTTTCGCAAGAAATCAATTATTTTCATAAATAATAAAAGTCATCGTACAATTTCAATTATTTCAATTTTAATCAAATTCCTCGAAACATGTAAAATTTTTAAAAGTTTTATTAAAATTCGTTAGAAGAATTTAATAACTGAAGGGTTCCTACAGAATCTGGAAATCATGGAAATGGTATGGAATTTTTAAAAGGCTTCTGGAAATCAGGAAGATCGTGGAAAAGGCCTGGAATTTTTAAAAGTTTCTAAATTTTCCTGTTTTCAATTTTTTCTTTTCAATAGAAATTCAATTAGAAATTTTAAAATATAATATATATTATACGACGTGGAAATTAAATTTAAAATTCCACTGGGATTTCCTAAAAATTTGACCTGGAAATCATGGAAAAGGTATGGAATTTCAAATTCGGATTTCTGTAGGAACCCTGTAACTTAAAAATGTGGTGTATAGAATTCTTCATGAGAATTCAATTTATTTTAAGAAACATTCAATTATTCAATAAGTTATTTATTTTTGTATGTATTTAAATAATTGAATTCTCGTTGAATTTTCTAATAAAAATTGATTTAAAAATGATTTTCACTTAAAATTTTAATATAATGTTTCATAAAAATTCAATTATTTGCATGAATAATAAATATTCTCCCCAGAATTCAATTATTTTGATAAAAATTAAAATTTTTCGCAAAGAGTAAATTGTCATTTAAAAATTTTAATGAAATTCTACACAAAAACTCTATTATTTTCATAAATAACAAAAGTCTTCCTAGAAATTCAATCATTTGAACAAAATTCTTTTCAAAATTTCAAGTATTTTCATAACTAATAAAATTTTTCCGAAGAAATCAATTATTTTCATAAAAAATAAAATTCTTTATGAGAATTTCAGTTAATATTTTAATAAAATTCTTCATCAAAATTCAATTATTTGCATAAATAATAAAATTGTTCACAAAAAGAATTATATTTAATTGAAGAATTTTCGAATAATCGAAATTTCGTAAAGTTGAATTGTAAACAAATGTATTCGAAAATTTTCAAAGAACTTTTTCAAAAAGTATTAAAAATAATTGATTTAAAGAAGAATTTTAATTGAAAATTTTAGAAAATAATAATTTATTTGAAATGATAAAAATAATAAAAATAATCATCTTCATGTTTTATAATAATATTCTTATAAGGTGTTGAATTTCAAAAAGGTTTGAATTTGTAATTTTTAAAAATCTGAATTCCTATGGAAAAATAATAATGAGCAAATTAAATATTTATTTAAAAATGTAGTTATTGATGTTTTCGAATAATTTTACAATTGAAGAAATTCGTGAATAAATTTTTAGAGTGAATCGCAGAATATTTAGGGTCAGGGAAAAGCAAAATGAAATTTTTGTGGCAACCCTGTTAATTCTTGTGTAATGCTTGTTTTTTTTTAATTTTTTTGTTTTTCATGATTGTTAATATTTTTACGTCTCTTCTATAGAATTATCATCTCCTGTTTCGTCAGGTTCGCCATGCTCAAAGAAACGACACAAGAATCCACAGCCAAAGAATGCGGTGTGCGCTTTAAATGAATTGAAGGCGGGCGCTGTTTATAAAGTTGTCTCACAAACTGGTCCAACGCACGCTCCAATATTTACAATTGCAGTGCAAGTTGACGGGCAAACTTATGAGGGTAAGGGTCGTACTAAAAAATTGGCGAAACACGCCGCCGCTGAATTGGCATTAAGAAATATTGTACAATTTCGTAATGCACCTGAAATTGTACGCGTCATTAATACAAATAATTGTCAAGCAACACCAATGGAGCCGGACTTCACGAGCGACGTTACTGAGCGTGATAATCATTTGGTGAATGCATTTAAAACTCTCGCACAAGAGCCAAAGAGTGCAAGTAAATTTCTAGACAAGGGCCCAGTTGCATTAATTAATGAATTATATCCGGGCGTTACTTATAAATGTATTTCTGACACGGGCGAGAGTTATGCAAAATTCACAATTGCTGTGACAATTGATGGCGAGACATTTGAGGGTACGGGGCCGAGTAAAAAATTGGCAAAAGCAGCGGCAAGTAAAGCGGCCCTCGCTAAATTACGAAATGTTCATAGTTCATCATTTTGTATTCCATTACCGGTGAGAGTGTTGCCGAGTTATGCTAATTCTGGACATTGGCAGGAGCAAATGAGCCTACCGCAAATGTTGGCCGATCGAATAGGAAAAATGGTTAATCAAAAATTCACCGAACTCGTGCAAAATAAACCGCAGCACGCGCGGCGTAAGGTTTTAGCTGGAATCGTTCAAACAAGAGGCAACGAGGCTGAATTAATTTGCGTTTCAACTGGTATTGTTTTCCTATTCATTCAAAATTTCCCACTTTCGCTAAATTTATTATTCAACTAACATTATTGTTTACTTCACTCATACAATTCTCATTTATTTATATTTCTTTCTTTTGTTAATTACTTTCTTCATTTTCTTTAATTTATCACTTCTTTCATTCATTTAATTAGCAAAGTCAAAGTTAGTCAAATTTTCTTTAATTAGTTAATTACTTTCTTAATTAATTTAATTAGCAAAAATCAAACTTTCTGAAATTTTCTTCAATTAGTTTATTAGTAAAAGTCGAACTTGGTCAAATTTTCTTTACTTAATTCAATTAGCAAAAGTAAAAGTTGAAATTTTTCTTTAGTTAATTAATTAAAATAATTGGTTGATTGTTGACTTGAAGAATTAACGTTTGGTTTTTTCAGGTACTAAGTGCGTTTCGGGTGAACACTTGAGTGTGAGTGGCGGAGCGGTGAACGATTGTCACGCAGAAGTCGTTGCACGTCGCTGTCTGTGCGAATATTTATATAAACAATTGGAATTGCACACTGAAAATCGTGGCGATGAATCAATATTGGAAGAATCAAAACAGGGATACAAGCTCAAGCAAGGAATACAATTTCATCTTTACATTAATACTGCGCCTTGTGGTGATGCAAGAATATTTTCGCCACACGAGGAAAATGAATCGGTCGATAAGCATCCAAATCGAAGGGCCCGCGGACAATTGAGAACGAAAATTGAGTCGGGCGAAGGAACTATCCCCGTGAAAAGTAGCGAGGGAATTCAAACCTGGGACGGAGTTCTCATGGTAAGATAATTATTCTTTACTACCGTTGAAGATAAGGTACCAAAAGTTTTAAACGTTCAAAAGATAGTCAACATTTTTTTTAATTATAAAATTTATAATTTTATATTTTATTATTTTAATTTATTAATTTTTTTTTACCTTTTTTAAAAAAACGACGATATTTTTATTACTTATTTCAATTTGTATTTTATTTACAAAAGTTAGTTTTTTATCATTAAAAAATTAAATTTGAACTAAATTGAATGTTCAGTTACAATTATTTTCATTTGAATTTAGTAATTTTTAAAAATATTGGAGTACAAAAAAATATATTTCTTTTCTTTGAACGTTCTCATAACTTTAAGAAAATAAAAAAAAGAAATAATTTTTTTAGTTTGTTTTCGATTTTAAAAATTTTTATACTTATTTTTTTCAATCAGTTTTAAATTTTACTGAAAAATTTTATTTTTTTGTATTAATTTTTTTCCATGCCTCGCGAGTATAATATTTTACTTTTTGTACTTTTCTCGGCTATTTTAAAAAAGAGTTGACTTTCTTCGACTTATTTTCAAAAAATACGATTTTTTCCACTTTTCTTTTAAATATTGCAACAAGCATCGAATATTTTTTTGGTATAAAATGCAACTTATTTCGATTTTTTAGTGTAAAAGGAAAAACAACTATAGTCAAAACTATTAAAATTTATTTTTGATTAATTCTTTTCAGATAATTAAATTTTTCGAAATAGATATAAATAATTAAAAAGTTTTAAAATAATTTAAATTTAAATTGTAAAATTCAAGTTTGACAAAATTTTAATTGTAAATTTTGAATATAATAAAATTCTCAAAAATTATCATGAAAATTTGAGAACAAAAATTAACGAAAATAAGCTGACAAAAATTTTAATTGAAATATTTTTTTCAAAATTAAAAAAATTAACAAAAATTATTTAGAACTTTATTATTATAATTTTTTTAAATTAAATTATTTTCATTATTTTGAATTACATATTTTCGAAAATACAAATATCTATACAATAAATAATTACATTAAAATCTTCTTAAAAATTTAATTTTTTAGAATAATTAAAATTTTGCAGAAATTAATCATTTTGAAAATTTTTAATTAAAATTCTTAAAAAAAATAAATTAGTTTTTAGAGTATACAAATGTTCTTTAGAGAAACTTAATTAAGTATTTTCGAAAAATTACATTACAATATTTTTGAAAAACTAATTTCTCAATTATCTTTCAAAAATTACTTATAAATATTTTTAAAAAACTAATTTCTTTATAGATAAATCATGTCGAGTTACAATTATTGTAAAAAGTTAAATTTTTGTATTTAAATATTTTAATTCTCTATGAACTTTTGAAAAATTAAAAAAAATTGATTTAGAGAAAAATATCAGTTAGAAATTCTGTAAAATAATACGAATATTGAGAAATTCCATCTAAAACGATCAAGTAAAAATTTTAATTTTCTATGATTGGTTTGAAACTCTGGTAAATTGTCTACATAAAAGGAATAACATCCTAAAATATAAACTTTTTAAAAAATAAATTGTGTAAATTATGTGAATTGCAGTTAAGACATTTTAAACAAAAATTTTAATTTCAAATCTTAATTTCGAGAAAATTTGAAAGATTTTAATTTTTATTATAGTGAATTTTAAAGAATTGTTTGTGTACTTTGTGATGTCAAAAATCTTTTTTAAAAATAAAATTTTTCAATCCCCTTCTTTTCAAAAATAAACATTATTTTTCTATTTTTTCAAAAACTACCTCTTTTTCATCATTTTTATTGGAAAGCTGAGAATTTTTCCAATAAAATAAGTAATAAATAAAAGTAGGACAACAATATACTTTCTATAAAATGAAAAACATAACTTTTTAAACACTATTTTCTTGAAAACTCATTGTTCCATTTTCAAACTTTACATAATTTATTGGAAAAAATGTCAGCTTTTCAACGAAAATAATTTTAAAAAGAAACAATTTTCGAGAAAATTAAAAAGTAAGGGTTAAAAATATTTATTCAAAAGAGATTTTTGACATAGTACTAAAAAAGTACATAAAAATTTGCTTTAAAATTCACTATATAAAGTTAAAAATCCGCCAAGTTCTATCGAAATTAAATCAATTTGAATGTAACAAAGTCCCTTTAAAATCTAATTTTTTTCGGTTAGATTAGTTGACATGGAAAAAATAATGGATAACTCTATTAGAAAATATACAATTGTAATTTTTGAAAATAATTAAATTTCAGAAGATTTGAAATTGAAATTTAAAAAATTTTAATTCCTGTGAAAAAATTATTCAAGTTTTAAATAATAAAATTTAAAAATCAGTGAAACGTCAGGAAAATACTAAATTAAATTTTTGTGATTGATCTGTATAAAATAAAATTGAGCAAGACCGAATATTTTATTATTAATTATTTTTTATTATCGAAAAATTGATCAAAGACAAGGAAACAAAGGTTTTATAAGTAACTATTTTTCTTTTGGTATTGTAAAATTGAACAGGGATAAAAGTTTCATTACTAACTATTCTTCTGTCATTGTAAAATTGAACAGGGACAAAGGCTGCTGACGATGTCGTGTTCGGATAAAATAGCTCGCTGGAACGTTCTAGGAGTGCAAGGAGCACTCCTGAGCCATTTCATAGAGCCAATTTACTTCCACAGCATCGTTCTTGGCAGCTTGCTTAATCCTAGTCACATGTATCGAGCGGTTTGTGGGCGCATCGAGAACACAATACAGGGCTTACCGCCACCATACAGACTCAACAAACCACTGATGAGTTTGATTACATCCTCCGAAGTTAGACAACCCGGTAAAGCACCTAATTACAGTGTCAACTGGACAATTGGTACGTATACAATAATTTATCGAAAAATCAATAATTTCCAATTTCAAAAAAAAATTCCGCTTTTTACTCTTTTAATTAAAAAAAACATAATTTTAATTATTTTTCCAATAAAAGGTACAATGTAACATTCATTTCGGATCATTTCTCTTGAAAAGAAACCTTATTGTACGTATTTATAATTGTTTTTCTGGTTTTAATTTGTTTGCTACCTGACTCGGAGTGATCGTTGCATTCTACTACTGTTTTATTAAAATACCACTGAGAGAGAAATTCAAATATTTATTTTTTATTCGAAAAAAGGAAAAAAGTATAACAAACGTAAATTAAAACATACATTTAAAAAAAGTACATTATGATTTAACAAACAAATGTTACGCGCGATTCGCGAAATATTTATTATTATTATTTTGAAAATTACAAAAAATTTTATTTTCAAATTATTCAAATATTGAATTAGAAAATAATTGAATTTAAAAATATAATTGTAAATTCTTGAATAAGAATGTAATTGAATTTATTTATAAACTTTCAAATTCATTAACTATAAGTAACAAACTTTAAAATTTTTGAATAAAAAAATAATTGAAGTTAAAATTCTTTGCAAATATTCAATTATTTTTATAAATAATAAAATTCTTCGCAGGAATTCAATTATTTGCAATGCAATTTTAATAAAATTTTTTTAAAAAATATAATTGCGGACCTGATTACTATAAACGCCGCTGCGCTCGGTTGTAAGGGATAATACCAGTCTGGTAGCATTGAACGGCCCAGAGGCATAAATAATAAATTTCTTCGCATGAATTACATATTTTCAGTACAAAATTTATAAAATATTTCTAAAAAATACATTCAGTTTCAAAAATTTTAATAAAATTTTGAGAAGAGTTAAATTCTTTCTAAAGAATTTTAATAAAATTCATTAATCAAATTTTCAATTATCATTATTAAGAAACACGATTATTTTAAAAAGTTGAAAAAAATTCTTTGGAAAGTTTTATTATTTTCGAAATTTTCGATTAAAATTATTCAAAAAAAAAAAAAAACGAAAAAACTCTAATAAAATTGCTCAAAAGAATGTAATTTTCTTTTAATAATTTTAATAAAATGTAATAATGAAATTATTAATTACAATTATCAACAAAATCGATTATATTAAAAAAAATTAAAGACATCCTTCAAAATAATTCAATTATTGACAAAACTCATAATAATAGTATTTATTCTTCGAAAGAATTCATTTATTTTCAATATTTTAATAAAATTCCTTGAATGAATTCAATTATTTAAAATAAAATTGTAATAAAAATCTGAGAAAAATTTAATTATTTTCTAAAAATTTGAAAAATTACATAATTTTAATAATCAAATATTTAATTACAATTATTGACAAACACGATTATTTAAAAAACTTGATAGAAATTCTTTTCAATTACTTTCAAAATTTTGAAATTAAATTATAAAAAAGTCTATTCATTAAAAAAATTAAAAAAAATTCTGCAGAACAATTGAATTATTTTCAAAATTACTTTTCAAAACAACAACTAACTTTAAATTACGAGCAGATTATCGGAATACAAAGATTAATATAATAGATTAATTAATTATTATTAATATGAGGATGAGGATTATATTTTGTTTTATTTTATTTATATCCTATCTATATATTTTAATATAGAGTTTATTGAGAGTAAAAATATATTAAAAGAAATCAAAAATAACTTTTAAATAAATTGTACTCTCAAGATAATTATTTTAATATTAGGTATTTACGAAACATTTTTAATATTTATAAATGAAGTTGAAAGAAAAATATTTTTTCTACCTAGTCTCATTATTTTATTCTCAAGAATAATGTAATTTTCTTCTACTGAACAACAAATAAACAATTTAATTTTTCTTTAGAAAGTTCAATTAGTAATAAAATTTTATTTTCAATGGTGCAGTTTAAACATTGGTGAAGATCACAACGATTTAAAGGAAAAAATATTTTTCTATTTAAATTTTCTAAAATTTTTGTGCAAAAAATGTTTTGCATATTTTTTTAATTAATAATTCAAAAAATAAATATTTATAAACAAAAAATTGTAATAAAAAATACATGAAATTAAGAAGCTTGAGTAAGAAATTGATTTGGAGAGATTGTTAACTTCTTTCACATTCTGATAAATTGCTACCAAATGATAAATTCCTTTCCTTTAATTTAAAAAATTGTATTGTTTTCGACGGAAAAAGAATTAAATTTTCTATTTATATTTTTAATTAATTAATAATCAATAATTATTTATTTACGTCTTGAAAATACGTAAAAAATGACTAGCAATGAAATGATAGAATTTGAGTAAGAAATTTGATTTAGATAATCAAAAGACCTCGAAATTGTTGCTTTATACTTAATTTTCTAATAAAGAATGTATTTTTTTTTAATATACTGAATATTTTAAGGAGACAATTCTTTCCGACTTAGGTTGTACAAGATTTTAAAATAGGTCAATCGATGCGCTTTTTAAAATGCCCGACGGATAGGTTACAATATTTTTAAATTTACATAAAAATAAAGTATCTTAAAAAAATGACCCTTTCTTTAAAATTTAATTTTAAATTTTTTATACACTTTACACCTTTCCAGGTGAAACTTAATGTAATAAAAAAAATTCTATAAATATATTGATATAAATAATAATATAGTAAACAAGCATAAAAGAGTAAGTGAATAAAAATAAGCGAGTAAGTGAATTACGTACGTACCTATAAAAAAAGTAAATAAAAAATTGAAAATTATCCAATAAAAATTAGATCAAGGCATCGCTTAAAAAATAATTATTATTTTCTTTTTTTAATTAAAAATGAAAAATCATTTTTTGAAAGAAAAATAATACCTAATCGGGATTTAATTAAAAATTTTATTTTGCAATTTAATGACAATCTTTTTATTACTTTTTCTTCTCTTTTTTTTCCAAATTATAGGTCAAGTCGAAGCGGAAGTGATAAATTGCACAACTGGCAAGGATGAACTTGGAAAACCGTCCAGAATATCGAAACAGGGACTCTTTAAAAAATTCTACAATCTTTTGGGTAAACTTGATACGATTGATGATGCCGATCAGAATCAGTGTCGTCATTATTTAGAAGCCAAGTCATCTGTCCAGAATTATTCGGTAAGAGAAATTTATATATATTTACTTTCATTTTTTATTCTTTTTATTGAAATTAATTACAATATATCGTTTATTTTAAAGAAATATTTATCAATTTATGATCCACAAGTTTTGAACATTCAAATAAAGGAAATATTTTCTATTGAGAATATTACGTTCAAAGACAAATATTTTTTAATAAAAATATTTTAGGTATTGATTTCAATAAAAGTTTAAAACTTAAATTTTTCGTTTATTAGAAAACTTTATACATAATTTCTGTTATAGTGTCCCAAAAATTATTACAATAAAAATTGAATTCGAAGAAGACATAAATAAGTTTCGTTTGTTTGAACGTTCAGAACTATTACTAATTATCAATTTTTACTATAATTGCATTAAAAAATATTTAAAAATTTTTATTATGAATTAAATTAAAGACGTATTTATCAAATTGTATTATAAGAGCAAATCCACGTGAACTGGTCTAATCGAAATAATTAGATTTTAAGGAACATTTCGTTCACCCCAAGTACAATGTACTTATGTTTAAAAACCATTTTGGAAGTTACCTATTATTATATCTTCCACGTCTGTTTTCGAAATCACTTATGTTAGAGGATCGTTTTCGAAACTACATATCTTTCAGGTTCCGAGCAGAAACTACGTATCTCTGACAGTCGCTTTAGAAGCAACTAATGTACTGAATAATATTATAATATTTTTATAAAAAAAAATTAAATTATTAAAAATATACAGTTTAATGCATGAACTTACGAAAAATTCACTTCACAACAAAATATTAACTTCAAAATAATAGTAATAATAATAAAATGTAGAGCTTCTAAAGCGACTGTCAGAGATACGTTGTTTCTGCTCGGACAGAACCTGAAAGATACGTAGTTTCCAAAACGATCCTCTAACATAAGTGATTTTTAAAACAGACGTAGAAGATAGGTAACTTCCAAAATGGCTTTTAAACATAAGTACATTGTACTTGGGTCGAACGATTTATATATTCAAATTAATATAATTTCTACAAAACTTGACAGATTTTTAATTTTGAAATAAAGAATTTAAAAATTAAAATTTTTTGTGTACTTTTCAACGACAAAAATCTATTTTGAAAAATATTTTTTAACCCTTCTTTTTTCAGAAATAAATCTTATTTTTCATTTTTCCAAAAACTACCATTTTTCAATTTTTCTTATCATTTTAGATTTTTCCAGTAAAATATGTGAAAATGAAAGTGGGACAATGTACTTTCGAGAAAATGAAAAAGAAACTTTTATAACACTTTTTTTTAATTCCCTTGAAAACCCATCGTTGTCTCATTTTCAAACTTTACATAATTTATTGGAAAAAATCTCAGCTTTTTAATCAAAATGATAAAAAAAAATGGAGAAAGAGGTATTTTTTCTAAAAATTGAAATATTTACAAGACAATTGCAAAAAATAAAAATTTTTACTTGATCGCTTCACATGGAATTGCTTATAATTAAATTAAAAATATATTCATCAATTTTTAATATTATAATTAAATAAAGAAAATATTAAATTAAAAATTGAATTTAATAACAAAGAATTTTAAAAAACAAAACAAGAATTTCTCATTTTTCAAATTTTTAAAGTGTTAAGAAAACTAAAAATTGCAAAAGCTTAATATAATTTTATTTTAAAATATATTTAATTTAAAATTCTCGAATAAGAAAATTGAATTTAAACATTAATTTTTTGAAAAATTCTTCAATAAGAAAATAATTGAATTTAAATATTAAATTTTTGAAAAATTCTTGAATAAGAAAATAATTGAATCTAAAAATAAAATTAATAATTCTAAAATAACAAAATAATTGAATTTAAATGTTTAATTTTTAAAAAGTTCTAGAATAAAAAAATAATTAAATTTATTTTTAAACTTTAAAATTCTTGAACTAGGTAAGTAATAAATGTTAAAATTTTTGAGTAAAAAAATAATTTAATTTAAAATTCTTGAATAAGAAAATAATTGAATTTATAAATAAACTTGAAAATTCTTGAATAAGAAAAGATTTGAATTTAAAAAAAATTCTAAATTCTTGAATAAGAAAATAATTTAATTTATTTATAAACTTTAAAATTCTCGCCTTTGGAAATTGACGTTAAAATTTTTGAGTAACAAAATAAATGAATTTAAAAATTAAATTTAGAATTCTTGTAAAAGAAAATCATTGAATTTAGTAATAAACTTTAAAATTCTGAATAAGGAAATAATTGAATTTAAAAGTTAAATTTTTGAAAAGTTCTAGAATAAAAAAATAATTGAATTTAAAAATAAAATTTGAAATTCTTAAATGGAAAATAATAATTGAATGTAAAAATTAAATTTTTGAAAAATTCTTGAATAAGAAAATAATTGAATTTAAAAATTTAATTTATCCGGAATCGCAATGTATTTGAATTGTTTGAAATCAAAATTTTTACTACAGAATCTTTAATTTTTATAAATGAAATTAAAAAATGTTCCAGTCTTAAAAACTGTATTCTGCAATTTCTTAGATTTAAATAAATTTGAATCAAAGAACGTCATGTGAAAAAAATTGAAATAAATAAAATTTTTTTTTATCAAATACGTGAAATTCTTGATATTAATAACAATAAGACAGCCATTTAATTTTGTATGTTATTTCTTGTAATTAGTACTCAGTATAAAAGGGCATTGCCCGTATATTTTTCAAATAAATAAATTAATAAAAATTAAGAAATCAAAAATCATTAAATTCATTAAATTCAATTTGTTAATTTAATATTTCAAGATATCATTATCAATTTTATTTAATAATATATTATTTATTTATTTACATAAAGATGTGTTAATAATGATGAAAAATTCTCATTAACTTTTTTTCTGTTTTGTAAAATTTGTTTTTTTTCAAAAAAAAAAAAACAAAATAAAACAAAATAAAAATAGCTCGCAAAACGTCAGCTGAAGGATGCATTCGTTCGAGCTCAACTTGGCAGTTGGGTTAAAAAACCAATTGAACAAGACATGTTTGACGTTGACATCTGACTAAGCAGTGATAATGTTTCTCGATTATGTCCAAAAAAACGTGTTTCCGAGTACGTTGCAACGCGCGTAAATTAGATCGATCGTTCAGTGTGTCACAGAACGGCGGATTTTGGCATTAGTAAAGCATAAGTTTTAGGATCTCAAAAAAGAAAGAAAAGAAAAAAGAAAACGTCTTTTCATTAAATATAGATTTTCAATGCAAATTAGAGAATAACTATTTAAATGTATACAAGGCTGTCAAAGAAAGAAAGAAAAAAAAAGATAATGTATGTGTGTAGGAAAAAAATCATCAGTGTGTGACTATTTTTTTTGTAAACTTTATTCAACTCTGTAAAGAATCGATATTCCAGTGTAAAATTATATTTAAATACTCTCCTATAATTGTAGACAATTTTTCACTAGGAGGAAAATAAAAAATAAGAGTTGAAAATGTCCACACAATTTCAAGTTCGTTCTTTAAATAATAGACTTTAGATATACATATATCGCGTCGTTTTTTGACAATTCCATAGACTGTTAGCAATTATAAGGAAGAACTTGATTAGTCTCGCGTATTTGTATGAATGGACAATTTGTTTTTTCATTTTGTAGATGTAAAAAAAGGAAAAAAGTTGCTTATCTTTATTCGAAAGGCATTTTTTTCTAATAATGATAAGCAAAGTCAGTACATATCTTTTATTCAATCACTTTTAAGATATTTCTCTCGCACCTAACTTAATGTTCTTCGAAAACACACAAACGGAAACTTAAAAAGTAGTCATCCGAATTAAATATCTAGTTAAGTGAAAAAAATATTCCATTCAATCTCGTTTAATTCTTTTTCTTTATTAGAAATATAGGCGCGCTCATCAATTCATTCTCTTTTGTAAAAACAAAAGGTGAATTGAACATTTTTTTTCTTTTTTATATAGATTTTAGAGACTGCCGCGTCCTTATTTGATATCCTTAAAAAAAACAAGGCTGTGAGCGAAACTCGCATTGAGGTAGTGAGCAGACGCGGTAATTGAATGTTAGTGAGAACGAAAAACGATCAAAAAAAAAAAAAAAAAATTTTTACAATTGCTCAGTTTCCTTGAATCGTAAAAAAGGAATGAAAAAATATCGATAAGATTGTTTCACGAAAAAATTAAGCGTTAATTTCCGCACACGTTTTTAGAATCACTTTCTTCCATGTATTCGCGAAAAAAACAATCTTATTTATATTTTTTTTAAACAAAATCTTTTTTCACCCTCCTACTCTGGTGGCGTGCAGTCATTTTTATTATTCTATATTTAGCTCCTTGACTCCATTAGAATTTTAACAAATTATTGTTAGTTTTTTTCTCCAATCTTTTAAAATGAATTATAGTATTTATCCAGAAATTTTACATCCAATCATTTAATATTTTAAAACTTTACATTTTGAGATTTAAAACAACAATTAATGTTTCAATTGAAAAAGAACAAATTGAATTAAAATTCGAACACTGTAGATTAAAAACATCTGATTTTTACAGTGTTGTACACAATATTTAAATATGTAATTACAGTGAACGATTTGCAACAAATGATTAAAAAAAAAGGTAAAAAAATAATAGTGTTTGACAAATGAAAGAAAAAGACAGTTGCATGTAAAAATGTAGATGCAAAAAAAGAAATAGCACTTTGCAAATTTTTCAAATCGGACAAATAAATACTTTGAGTAAGGCCTAAATTTTTTCCGTAATCTGCTTTTTACACTTCGTGTAGGAGGGAAATGTAGCGATAATTTAGAATAATTAAAAATAAATTTAGAGATTTCTAAGATTAATTGCCTCACTATGCCAGCAAAAGAAATTGTCATTTTTTTAACTAAAAAAAAAAAATATATGTAGTTCTGCCGTAGTGACACACTATTCAACGCCGATCCAGTTTGACGCGAAAAACACACACACAAAAAGCAATTTGGAACAACTACCAAACAAAAAAAAAAAAAATAAAAAAAACATGAGACTGAAGTCCGCAGTGTTTTAAAAACGAAAAATCAAAACAGAACTTTTATTTTGAGATTCATTTTTCCGTTTATAAATTTAAGAAGATTTATTTAAGACTAAAGAAAAGTTTAGAAGCTAAAAAGTAACAAGAATTTGAAAGCTAAAATTAAATCTTCCTCGTATTATTTTTTCGTTTTCGTTTTTAAAAACGTTGCGAACTTCAGCCCCATTAAAAAAAAAACGTACTTTGAAATAGTGTTTAAAAAAATATTACACTTCAAACCACAATGGTATTATCGAGTGTGTAAAAACGAAATTTCATTTTTTTTCAAAAAAACAAAACTTAGTAATCGAAATATTATTTGCTTCTCGAAAAAAAAGAAAATCAACTCGAGTATTTTTTTTAAGTGTTTCAATCACTTTTCTTTTTTTTTTTGCAAAATTAAAAAAAATACTTGTGTGCCAATTTACATAGGTTCAAATTTGCACACGAAATTTGTCAAAAAACAAAACGAAAAAAAAGTGTGCTTCAAATTTGACTTATATCGCTGTGCAAATGTTGGGCAAGAAATTCTTTTCTCCCTGTTTTGAATAACGATCATTAATATTGTATTCTCACAATAATTATATAATAATAATTATTAAATTTAGCTGATAAAGAAAATAATTGTAAATTTATTTTTATTTTTTCTCTCTCTTGAAAAATGTTTAAAAAATATAAAGAACTCTAAACGAAAATAATAAATGAAAGTATAGTCAAAGAGAAACGCGAAAAATGAACAAAAAAATAGAAAGAAAAAGAGTAGAAAAATTGCGAAACTAGAAAAGCAGTTGAAAAAAAATAGTTTGTATGAAACGAAAAAAAATAATTGTTCTTTATATTGAAAGTAATGTAACATTAATTTCTTGCCTGGCATGGAACACCAAAGATTTCAATAGATATTTTCATATTTCTCAAAAATGATCTGTCGCTAATTAGCATAAATAGTGTAATTATTTGTTTTTTTCTATGCTTTTAAACAATTTCTTCATAGATTTAATCATTTTTGTAGCATAAGATAAGAATTTAAAAAATTTGAAACTCCATAAACTTGCTATATATCAATTTTTGCAAACAATTTTAATGAAAAATTTTTTATATATTATTTTAGACGAATAAAATTTATATCCACTTGTTTTTTTATTTATCACAAAAAAAGAAGGAAATATTATTTTAGCTCAGCGATATATCTTTATAATTTATTATTAGAAAAGGAAATTTATGTATTATGTATAGTAACGAGTGAAATTTCTATTTATTCTTATGTTTATGTTCGTTATTGATTAATGAACATTATTATTATTATTATTAATATTATTTTTTTTATTATTAATATTATTTTTATTTTAATTATTATATTATAATTATCATTTTGTATTCTTTTGTTATGAAAAATATGTGAATTCTTCTTTTCTTTGTATTTTTTGAAAATGCACTTAAAAGCATAAAAGAAAATATTTAACAAACAAAAAAAAACTAATAATAATCAAGTATTCAACATCGAGAATTACAAGTATTCTTGTTAGTCAGCTAGAACTTAAGCATGACTAGTGCCTCTAGTTGTAAAATCTTAAAAAAAAATACAAATTAATGAGAAATGATTCGTCAATAAACTGTTATTTACCGAAACATTTCTTTTGAATTATTGACACCACATTATTATTACATGTTTCCATTATTATTCCTTATTGAGAAATTTCCGCTACTTTCGCAATAGATAAAAAATTTAAATAGCAAATTAATACTTATTTCGTTAATAATTTTATAAGTATTACATAATTATATGTATTAATAATGTATACTATATAATATTTATTGTATAGATAATATTTTACATTTTTATCATTATTAATTTATTTATATAAACTGAATTGCTATTAATTATTATATTATTATATTACAGGGTTGCCATAAGTCAGAAACTGTCAGAGAATTCTATCAAAAGTATTTGAAAAAACATTTTTGAAAAACTAAAAAACCTTGTCTTATCCTTGAATTTTTTTTAACTTCTAGAATTACTACAAAAAATTTATTACAGAATTGCCTTACACAGATTTAAAAAAATGTAATTTTCAAAGAGTTTTAATAATAATTATTAAAATAATAGAAATTTTAAATTCTGAAAAAATTAGGTTTCTGAGAAATTTTAATTTAATATTTAGATTTTTGAATTTTTTGAAAAAAATTATTTAAGAATTATCAAATTAATGGAAATTTTATAAATTAGGTATTTAATTAACTAATTAAATTCATAATAATTAAATTTGTTATAGAATTTAATTAAACAGTTTTTTTAAATTCGAATTTTCAAGCAATTTTAATTTAATAATTACCTGGTAAATAATTGAAATTTAAAATTCTGACACACCATTAGAACTCGACTGTCGATAAACCGGTTGTACTCAGAGAGGTTTTCTACAGTTTCCCTCTTCTCTGGCGAGAAAACCCATTGACGGGTGGTCCAGGCGTAATGCGAGTACTCCTAATAAAAGTCGGCTGTAGACGCAAAATTAGGTTAATATATAGAATTTTCATATGTAGAATGGTTATGCTTAATCCAAAAAAGTATTTCTCGGGGACTCTTGTCGAAGTGCGTAAGGCCAATAGGGCAGGAGTATAAACAATAAAAAAAAAAAAAAAAAATTAATAATAAATCAATTTATTTCAGAATTTAGTTTAAAGTAATTAAATTTTTTAAAGAATTTCATTACAGATTTAAAAAAAATAATTAAATTAAATTTTACAAAGAGTCACAGTCAAATGTATTCCTAAGTTTGTTAGTGTAAAAAGCAGCATTTAAGGGAAAAAGTCAGAATTCTGTCTGGAAATCAGAGAAAACAGAAAAATCAGGGTAAATCAAAATTTTTATCGAATTTTTGTGGCAACCCCCCCCCCCAAAAAAAAAGACATTAAATTTATTGTTAAATTATTATTAACATTAATAATGCATAATAATTTTAATCTCTTAACTATTAATCTAGATTTTCAGCAATATTTCAAATAATTTATTAATTATTTTTTGAAATTTTATTTTAGGTACTTACTTTGTTAAAAATCAACAAAAAAATATATTTTTGTTATTTTTTTGTTTTAAAAAATTGTATAAATATATAAATATTTATTCCATGTTAAATAAAAAAATATATTTATAGATATATATTTCTATATTTTACAAATTTTTTATTTTCTAATTTGGGTGACTCAATTTTAGAAATATTTGAATAGCGAGTATACTTAATATAACATTATTATCTATGAAATGATGATGATGAATGAGGATGGTAAAAAAAATTGGGAAAATAAAGCAAAATGCTTGATGACAATTTTATGTTTCCTTGAAATTTTATATTGCCTCTGTCGTGTACATGTGTTATTTTCGTTTGATAATATAGTTTTTCTGCGATAACAATTTGTCAATGATTTTATTATAGATTTTTTATATATAATTATATTATGTATAAATAATACAATTGCTAGTAAATATTATTGCACTTCCCACGGGAATTATTTTTAGCTTTTAATAATAAATTGAACATATATTTTTTCAAATAAATTTTAAAGTAGAATTTATCTGCATTTTAGAAAAAAATTTGAATTACTAATATATTTTTTTAATTTATGAAAATTCATCGCATGTGAAGTACAAATGAAATTAACAGAGTTCTTAAATCTACGTTGATATGTATCGATTTTAATATGCTTCACCCTTGCCCCTCTTTTCTCTACTTTGTATATGAAATTAAAAAATTATTGCTTTTAAAAATGGGGAAAAAATTCAAATTTATGCATAAACGACAAATTTTCTTCTTTTTTTTGAAAGAAAAAGAAAATATTGCTGTAATTAGTACTAATTACAATAATTTATATTTATTTATAAAATTTTATTTATAAAATTATAGTAGTTAATAACTAATTATAATAATTAACAACTAATTATTACAATTATTAGTAAAATAATTATCATATAATTGTAACAGACAATTGTTTTTGAATTCGAATTTTTTCCATTTTTAAAAGTTCAGTAATTTTTTGTCTTTATTTGTTGTTTTTCGTTAAACTATATATTTAACTGAGGTTCATTATTATAGTGAAAAATATTGAAAAATAATTACTATTTTCCTTGTGGGAAAAAATGATTACTTTTTTGGTAGAAATAAAAATGGTAAACAAATGTTTTTAATTGAAATTTGATGATAGAAATGTAGAAATAAATTAAAATGTGCATGAATATCACTTTGAAGAAAAAAAGATTTCTCTTTTTAATAGTAACCTCAGTTTTATTTGACGAATTGTTACAACAACAAGAAATTTTTCTTAACAGAATATATTTTAATTAACGACATTATTTTTCGTAATTTTTCCTTTTTCTTTTACATTGAAAGAAAAACTTAATGAACTGCTTTTTTCTGTCTTCTTGTAATGGTTTAGAATTTTATTTTTTGAAGAATTTTCTTTGTAATTTTTTTTCATTCTTATTATTGAATTAAATTCGATTCTATGTTTTCATTTTTTTTAACTTACATTTTTCTGTTATATTAATTACACATATTTTTAGTGAAATTATTCATTTTGTAAATCATTAAAACAGAATTTCTTTTTTTTTTGTCTATTTATTGACAATTAAATTTATTAATTCATTAAATTCTTTCTTGATGAAAAAAGTTTACATCATTAATTTGAAAATATTGTAAATTATCAATATATCCTTTTTTTGGATAATTAATTTTATTTTTTAACTTTTTCTCAATAAATTTTTTTCCCAGCGTGGTCTAAATTGGAAATTTTTCGTAACACTGTGCGTTTTTTTCCAAAACTCTTATTCTTTCTTTCGATTTTCTTTTAACGTTTTGTAACTTTTACAATGAAATAATTCATACCACAATTTATTTGTAGTACGAACTATAAAAATGAATTCTATTAAAATTGAATTTTTTTTCTCTATTCTCGGGAATTAATTTTTTTTCTTCTGCTAGAATGCAGATTTTTTTTTTCTCAAACTTTTTTCTTTGTTTCTTTCTACATTTTTTCACATCAGAGAGTGACTAAAAAAATTATTTCTGAAATCACAGTTTCTTGGAATTTTTCTTTTTCAATTCTATATTTGAAATATTAGTATACCTTCGGTTTTAGAATTTTCCGCGTATAATATTTTCAAATCAGGTTTTTTTTATACTTTTTACTTCTTAATTTATTGGAAAATGAAAAAATTTTGTTTAAAATTTTAATGGAATAAATTGAAAATTTTTAAGTCCCTCTGAGTTGGCGGTTTATATTTTTTTTCCTAAGCGTTTATTTTTTTTATCTTTGAATTGTAGTACATAGGCTTAAGTATTTCTTGTGTAATTATTTAATTCTCTTGTGCCTCGATGAGGGGTTTTCTTTTTAATATTTTCTATTTCATTCTCATATCTTATCAAACACAGGGAAAATTTTATTGTAAATATTAATATTCCTCTTGATTCTCAAATTTTTGCAATTTATTTCCGGTTTATTTTTCCACTCTTAAAATTTGAATTCATAAAATTCAAAAATTCAATTTGCCAAAAAAATTCTTAATAATCACATAGAAACTAAAAAAATTAAGAAAAAAAATGAAAATATGTTTAGATAAAAAATTTTTTTCGTTAATTGAAATAAAAATTTATCCATGAAAAGAAGGAAATTGTCAACAATGAAAAAAATTTTTTTTAGTTAATTGACATAAAAACTGAAAATAAAAATTTTATCAATGAAAAAAAATTTAGTGAATTTTTGTTTGTATTTTTTGTTGTTTTATACAAAACAGCAAATAGCAATAGCAAACAGCAAAATAAAACAGCAATTGTGACGAAAAAATTTTTTTAAACATTTGTCAAATAAATAAAAGTAAATAAATAAAAATAAACAATAAAAATAGAAAAAATGAAAATGAATTGAAATAAAAAAACGAAAATAAGTAAAAAATTGATTTGCAATTTTGTAACAAAAAGCAAAAAGTAATTGATAAAAAAACAAGAATATTAAATTATCAATAAATACACAAATAGTAATTGAATTGTTAACTGAAAAAAAATTTCCTTGTGCCTGAAAGACTTCTGTTTACACTTTGCATTATCTTACGCGACACTTATTACATTTTGGAATTAACGTTACTTTATAATACACACAAACACGTGGAACATTGTTTTTTTATATAAAAAGAAATGAATCTAATATACATAATATTATCAATACATCGTAGGTATTCTAACAGCGAGCAGTTTAATTATTTTCTTTTTTTTGCATATAATTTTTTTTTTTAATAATAACGTTGCTCTCTACATTATAATAGAATTTTCTACGCGAAAAACGAACAATCTGTAAAGCAAGAGCCTTATTTTTGTTTCCAAATTGATAATATTCATATATTTACACAGAAGCAATTTAATTTTATCATTCATTCAATTATTTCAGGTTTCATTTTCTTTTATGAATTGTATATATTTTTTTTACGAATTGTATAAGTATATTTTTTTTTTTAAACGAAAAAAATTTTTTTCGCCAAAAACAATCGACACTCATTTCTTTATGACAATCAAAAAATTAACACTCATCATAAATATCAGGCTCTTTTTTTTCTCCTAAAAATTGGAAGGTGCATTATATACATATACATTCATACGTATAATGTCAATAATAATATTGTATTGTTTTTCATATTAGGCAGAAAGAGAAATAGAGATTAAATTAAAATTTAAAAAAAATCGTAACAAACTAATAGACATTTTTCTGTTATTCTCAAAAATAATTATTCAGGCTTTGTTATCTATTTCTATTATATTACTAATTAAATATTCTTCACTTTACAAAACTTTTACATAAAATCTTTGCAAATTAATAACTGGATATAAAATCATTTTTTGTTGGCAGAGGTTCTATTTCCTTATGTAACTGGAAAAGATCTTGAGATCTTTTAGGAAAAAAAATTTGGATTCTTTAATTTATTACATTTTTTGTAATAATAATATTTCTTATTATTTATAATGTAACTTTTTAACTGAACATTTTTTTTAATACTTATCTAATAAATATAATTATGAAATTATTATAATGTAATTCGCTAATAATTTAATAATTCCCACTCTCCTCGAAAAAATTGTATACTTATACGAATAAATAAATTATTTTGAATATAAATAAATAATTTGTTAATTCACGTTTTTTTTAACAAATTTAACAAATATTTTAATACTAAAATACTAAAAATAATTTATTTCTCATTCGGAAATGCGTTCTTTTTCATCTACAAGTAAAGTTTAAGAATTCACAACAATAGATTTTTGAAAATTCATGATAATGAAAATAGAGTGACTTTGAACGAGAGTATTTAGACTAATAAGTACTGCTATTTATATACAACATCGCTGTTATATGGGATATGCTTGAAGAGTGATTTTTTTTAGCAACACTGACTAGATTCAAGAAAATAGGTCCCTAGAAGAATTACTTTAATACTAGTGAGTTTTTATACTTAGAGAGAATTTCAAAAAGTAAATTCAAAATTTCAATAAGCAAACATACGGAGAAATCAACATTTACTTTTTTATTAATTAACTAATTTCAATTTTATTTATTAATTACCAATCAATATTTCATTGAAATTACAAATTAACATTTTATTTTAATTAGCATTCAATATTTTAATGTAATTACAAATTAATATTATAATTACAAATTAATATTTTATTGTAATTAACAACAAATATTTTATTGCAATTGCCTCTAAATATTTTATTACAATTGTCTATAAATATTTTATTGCAATTGCCAATAAATATTTTATTGTAATTAACAATTAACATTGCATTGTAATTACCAATTAAGTACGTAAATTCGATATGTAATAAAATAATAATACAATTCTAAAAGAAAAAACTACAAAAAATATAAAACTAATAAAACTTTGAAATTAATATAATTTTTTATTTTATTTCATTAATTTAATGAATTTAATTAAAAGAATTAAATTTAATGAATTTAATATCAATGAAATTAATACGTACAGACAATAAAAAATGTGATCACCATAAATAGAGACTTTAATGTGCAACTAAAGATTCTCTTCACTATATTATTTTCCGTCTCAAAATGTGAAAGTTAAAATTATTTCTACATTGTTTTATTTTTCATTTCTTTATATACTATAATTATTATTTTCTAAATTTATATTCAATTCATTTATACATTTTCGTTATTACCTTTCATTCCATTTGAAAATAACATTTTTCAAAAATGTTTTTTTTTTCAATGATCAATGGAAAAAGAAAATTGATATGTAATTAACATTAAAGCATAATTATTAATATGTGTATATATAATATATATATTATAAATATTTCAATAAATAAAATTTATTAGTCTGCGGCTATAAAAATTTATTCGTTATTTTCCCCTTTGCTTCTTTTTTTAAAATCTTTTTTCCTCTCTAATACTTTTTTTCCTCTTATTTTATATTTTTCTCGTTTTCCAATAAGAAATATCATTTTAAAAACTAATTTTTCATTTCAATTTTCATTTATCTAGGATATTTAAATAACACGAGTCGATAACGCCGACTTTACAGAATCCAATCAATTCAAATTTGTAACTTGATTCTTTTTTTTGTAAAAATACAATTCTGTAGTTTGTTACTTATCATCATCTTTATAATTATACATTTTTTAATGTATTTGCTGTTTTTTTCTATTTTTAACTTGGTTGTTATTGTTGGTGTTACCGATTTTATTGTTGTTGTAATTTTTTGCATAAGCACCACAGAATAATAGAAAATTATTTCTCTTTGGAAATGAAAAAAAAAATTTTTTCCAAAGAGAAAAAATTGCAGATTGTTTGTAAAATAATTTTTCGAGTTAAAATTTAATGAATTACGATCTGTAAACTCGTGGCCTGTGACTCAATAATGATGAAATATTGATGAATAAGTTGAGCTTATTTACTCACCCCTGTATAACATGAATTATGATAAAATTGTGAAATAATTTTTTCCTCATATTCTTCTTCGTTTATACATGTACACACTTGCAAGTGCTGTTTGACATTCATACTCAGCATTTTTTTTTTGTAGCACTTACGGTTCACGCGCTATTCTTCTATATCTTGCGATCATTTTTTTCCTGTTACACGTAATTGTAAACAAGGGGTTTTTTTCTCTATGTAAGTTGTTACCAGTCGTAGTCGTGTTGATGGAAGGGATTGGTACATGGTTGTTGAGCGTGAAGATGAGTTTCTACTGGTGGTGGTTTGGAAATTTCGAATTCCGTCCCTACAACTTCACTGTATATCTGTGAAGTGCAAAAAAAAAAGAATCGAATCAGTTTCTATTTTCGTGAAATTTAAATTTGAACGATTTTATTTATATTTTTAAACTAGAAAGTAATTATTAATTTCAATAAATAATCTTAAGAAACAAGCATAACGACACGCGCGCAAGCGAGCGTCAGATATTAAAGCCACTTGTTAGTTACAAAAACTATCTTTTTGAAATTTAATAAAAATTTATTATTTAATGAAAATTTATTATTTTTTAAAAATTATTATTTTTCGAAATATAATTCTTCAAGAATACCATTATATTATATACCAAAAAAACTTTTTAAAGTACAAAATAAAATTATATTCTTTCAAATATAAAATTTATTTCAATGAAATTCGACAAAACTTTTAATTGTTTCAGTTTTTAAAATTATTTTCGCGAATTCAATTTATTATTATCTTCAATATTTTAATTACCATTTTTCAAAAACCTAATTTTTTTAGAATTTCTATATTAACTTATTCAAACTTCAATCATTTTTATTAAACAAATATTTTAAAACCTATTGTTATTTATTTTAATTTAAATTTCAAAGAATTTCAATGTAAAACAAAAATTGTAAAATTTAATTATTTTTCCAATTTTAAGTTACAAATTCTTCAAAAAATACAATAATATTTCAAAATAAGTTTTTAAAGTGAGAAAATAAAATTCTTTGAAATATAAAATTTATTTTTTAATTGAATTTGAAAAAATTTACTATTTTTTCAGTTTTTTAAAATTATTTTTGTGAATTCAACTATTTTCAAAAAGTGTTAATTACGATTTTTTAAAACCCATCTTTTCAGAATTTCTAAATCAAAATTTTTAAATTTCATGAATTTTTGTTTAATAAATATTAATTGAATACTTATTGTTATTTATTTGTCCAGATAGAATTAAAATTTAAAAATATATGCACTTTAAATGTAAAACTTTTTGAAACTTAATCATTTCTATGAATTAGAACTGCAATTCTTGAAATATTTTCTAAAATTTTAACTAAAATTCTTTTTCTTATCAATTCTTATCAAAAAGTTGTACGAGAATTCAATTATTGAAATACAAAAATAAATGATAAAATAATTGATTATTTCTAAAAATTGCAAATGTAAATCTATGGATTTGTTTTTAATTTGAAGAGAAAATTCATAGACTATTTAAGATTTTCAATAATTTGATGTTTTAAGAAATTCTTCAAAAAAATTTAATTATTTTCGAAATTCTAATGAAATTCTTTAAAAGAATTCAATTTTTTATCAATAATTTTACTAAAATTTAATAATAAAATTAGTAGGTAATTACATTTATTAACAAAATCGAATGAATTTTAATTAAAAAATAATTAAAAATAATTAGATTCTGAAAAATTTTCATGAAAAATCTTCAAATGAAAATTAATAAAAAATAGCTTCATAAATTTATATTAAAATATTCTTTAAAAAACTAATTCTTAGAATGTTTTCATGATACATAATTTAAAAAAAAAATAATTCTTAAAATCAAGTTTCCATAAAAATGCTGGTTCTTGGTGTCCTTTAAAAATATTGAAAACCATAAATTTTCCTTGAATTTTCAATGTCAAGTTTTTAAAAAATCTCGAGGAATTGCAATTTTTTCAATTTAAATAATTGAAGAGTTACTGGAGACTTTTTTTAGAAATAATTAAATTTCAAAAGGTTTCAAATTAAAAAAAATTCCTTCTGTGAAAATTTTTTGAAATTAGTTAATTTTTAAAATATTTTTCACTGAAATACTTTCGTATAATAGAAATTTCGAAAAATTGAATTCAAAACAATCGAATTATATACATATTTTAAGTAAACTTTCTTTATTTTTAATAATTGGATTCTCAGAGAAATATTTGAAAATTATTAAAAATAATTGATTTAGGGAAGAATTTTATTTCAAAATTCTAGAAAATAATAATTGATGTAGAAGTATTTTTTATTATTTAAATAAAATATTAATAAAATCACTTTTTTAAAATCATTTTTTTACAACTTTTTGTTGTCATGGTTTTTATCATGTTGTTGATGATGTTTTTATTTGTTACTTGCTAATGACTTTCACTATTTTTTTGTTAATAACTAACGAGTATAAACCCTGTTTATAATAATTTGTTTTAAATTCTATTAAAAATAGATTTTCAACTCGTTTTTGCGGAGAAAAAAAGAAAAATGGTAAATTATTCTGAAAAATTACCTGGAAGCTTCTACGGATGAATTCATCTTCTCCTTTGCCTGAGATACTGTAATTGTAGCCGCCGCCGCCGCCTCCTCCTCCCCCACCACCTCCGCCGTTCAAGAACGGATTATTGGGATTAACAGAACCTGCAAAGAAAGCAGATTAAAAATTTTGTATTTCCATAATCACATTAATCAAAATACTGAATTTAAAAAAATACTTATTTAGTACTAAATAACAATTACTTGAAATTAAAATATAATATATTTAAGCTGAAAAATTGCTACCTTTTCAATTAATTTAATAAATAATTTGCAATATAATTTTACAGAATGGAATTATTCCGCTTACAAAATTATTATAATTACTTTTCATTCCTGTAATTATTTCTGTCCCAAAAAATTTTGAACATTCAAAATTATTGAGATTTATTTTCAAATTCAAATCTTGCGTCACGAATTATAAAGTAATTTATAAAGTTTCAAATTTAATTCATATATTTTTGATTTTTATCGCAGTCAGTAATTTTTGAAAATATTTATATTGAAAAAAATATTTCGTTCGTTTGAACGTTTATAATTTTTGGTGCATATTTTTGTTTCTAAAAATTAAAAAAAAAAAAAAAATAATACAATTATACTTTCCAATAATAATTTAACATAGAATTTTAATATCAATTAAGGAAAAATTGGGACAAATCAATGCTTTTGCATAATTTTGTCCCGTCTGCGCCGTCATATTGATTATATCCTGATAGAATAAAATTGTAATATTGAAAAAAAATTTGATTGATACAATGAAGTTTTTCTGTACTCTCTAAATAGTTTCAGTTTTTGAAGCAAATACCATTTAATTGACTCCAATAAATATTATTTGTTTCAATTAAATATTTAATTGATAATAGTCAAGTAATTGGTTATTTGAATCAAATAAATTTTTTTCAGTGTAGTTTGATTGCAAAAAGTCAGTCACTGATTCAAATAGTAATATTTTCCTAATGAAATGGTTAATAATAATAATTATTAGTCAAAATATAACTGGAATTTTTCGTATCGAATTCAAGTAGTGAAATTTGAATATTTTTTTAGTTATTTATTTACTATAATAATTAGTTACGTTTTACTAATTGATGAAGCAAAATGATACCTAGTAAAAATTTGACTAACAATTATTTATTTTGAACTAATTCAGATAACAATGCTTTTTTACCTCCATTGCTACCCGGTACGCCCAAATTACCGCCGCTAGTTTGATAAGTTGCACCGTAGCCGGGATCTTGATTAGCTAATTCATGAAGACGACTTGAACTTAAAGCACGGGGAATTGCATTACTTGGCACGCCGTGCGGTGCCAAGTGAGTTGCCTCGGCAACCTGATGAGGATCTTCTGTTGCTGGTATATCGGAAACAAATCCAGTATCAACACGATAGAAATTGATGAAAATAAATCCACCCAACACCAATAGACAAACGAAACCGTAAGCTCGAAACACCGTTGTTGTACCTGAACAATAATTTCATCACAATTTCAATATAATAATTAGGTAATAATTTCAATATTTTACATTATTATTTACAAATCTTTTACTTCATTTTATTATTATTAGTATACTATAGCAGAGTTTATGCTTGAATTGCGGTATTCAATTTATTACCTACTATTATTATTGTGAAAACTACAAAATTTGTTATTTTTAAAAATATCATAACATTTTCTAAATGTACTTTTTAACTAATTGAATATTTAAATATTATTTATTATTTTCAAAATTTTTTAATAAAATTCTTTATCAGAATTCAATTATTTCAAAAATTGTAATAAACTTCCTAATCAGAATTCAATTATTTTCAAAAATTGTAATGAACTTCTTTATCAGAATTTAATTATTATCAAAAAATTTTTCTCAAATTCTTTATCAGAATTCAATTATTTCCAAAAATATAATAAATTATATTTTTGAAAATAATTGAATTCTGATAAAGAATTTGAAAAAATTTTTTGATAATAATTAAATTCTTTATCATTCTTCTTTATCAGGATTTAATTATTTTCAAAAACTTTAATAACATTCTTTATTGGAATTCAATTATTTTCAAAAATAGTAATAAACTTCTTTATCAAAATTTAATTATTTTCGAAAATGTTACTAAAATTCTTTCCGAAAAATCAATTATTTTCAATAAAATTAAAAAATAAATTCTTCGAAGAGATTCTTCAACTATTTTCAATACAATTTTAATTAAATTTCTCGAAAGAATTAAATTATTTTCAAAAACCTTAATAAAATTCTTCGTAAGACTTAAATTACTTTCATAAATGGTAAAATTCAATTACACAGTTTTAATAAAATTTCTGGAAAGAATTCAATTATTTTTAAAAATTTTATAAAATTCTTTGAAAAAAATTAATTATTTGCAAAGATTTAACTGATAATTTATAAAAAATGTTATCAAAACAAATTCAAGGAATTTATTGAAAAGTTTAGAAAATTTAGAAAATAATTAAATAATAATAAAAGTGAATTTTTTGAAATTTCGAATCTGAAATTATTTAAAAATGTAAGTTAATACCTATTTAAAAATAAAATATAGTGTAATTTGCCTTAAAATAAAAAATCGGAACACCGCATTTCATTCACTAACGCGCGTTGTTTAATAATAATTATTAATTAATTAATTATGAATAATTGAAACGTAACGGTAATTATACTAATGGATATTATTAACATTAAATAATTATTATTAATGAAAATGTTTACGAATAATAATAATTATGGCAATAATATTACCATAACTAGCGACTAGCATTCCGCCAATTATTGCTCCGCAACCACGTCCAAGACCGTGGTGAAGTCCCTGCAAAACACCCTGTGCACTGGAACGTAATTGAGGCGGCGTATTGTGAGCGATGTAACTGCAGCAAGCGGCCCAAACGGCAGCGTGAGTTATTCCCTGGATGAATTCGAAAGGCAAAACCCACCATGGATTTCTCAAGGCGGAAATATAAAGGAAACGCAACACATTTCCTCCGAGACCAAGGCACAACACCTGCGAAAAGTACATTCAAATATTCAAAATATCATTTATTTATTTTACATTTATTCAAATTATTCAATAAAGTTACCTTGACATGGCCCATTTGCCGAATGAGTCGGAAGCTGAAGAAATAAGCGAAAATTTCCGAGATATGATTAATGACGGAAGCAACGCCGAAAAGTGTAGGTGAACCTCCATAATCTTGAAGATGCCAAAAGAGAAAAGTGAAAATAAGTCCAATGCCAAAACCCATGAACCATGCAACGAAAAGAAATGATGCGCATTTAATATCCTTGAACTGTTTTATCACAGTCACCCATTCGGGTATTTCCCTCGTTGTCTGGGCGAATATTTTACTCTGAAAAAAGAAAAAATAAAAAAAAAAAAATAATAATAAAGCAAACACAAAAAACTCAACCTCGATATAAAATTCAAATCGTAAATTCGTCTTCTAATTTCATCTCTGCTTAGGAAAAATTATTTTCCATTAAATATATAAATATTAATAATGTAAATTGTTTTTCCAAAATCGTAATACCTAATTAATATAAAAAATACTAATTTTATTTCAAAATTGTAATGAAAATGTATAAATATAAATTTTATCAAAATAATTATTTTTCAAATAATATAATAATTACACTATTTTAATTATTAGAAATTATTAAAATTAATAATTAATAGTTTTTTAAATATAGATTTATAAGTATTTACGGTTTTTTCTGCCGGTGGTGGTTGTGGTGGTAATGCACTTGACGATGAATCCTGTAAACCAGGTAAATTCAATTGCTGCGACAATTGATTTTGTAGTTCCTCCTCTCGGGTTAATTCCGCAGGTGGTTTAGAAACTTCCTTTAAAAAAGCGAGCACAAAAATATTGTGAGTAAAAAAATATTTTCCAACATTTTTCCAAACTGTTTACAACTTAATTCTTTAGTCGATTAAAAATACGAAAAAAGTCGAAAATGTCGTTTATTTCATTCAGTGCTGTCACAAAAATTTTATTTTATATTTCTCTTTTGAAACTTGAATAATTTTGTTAAATAAATATTTAAATACTTTTTTGTTTTTTCACGGGAAATAAAATTAAACAAATTTCAATGTAAAATCTTCTGAAATTTAATCATTTCTAATAATTACAACTAATTACCTTCCAAAATTCAATTATTTTCTGAAGTCTTTACATATAAACTTCTACTCTAAATAAATTATTTTTAATAATTTTCCGAAAGTTTTTCGAGAATTCAATTATTTAAATACAAAAATTTAATTTTTCATAATAATTGTAACTTTAACTGTCAATGTTTCCTTTTAAAAGTTATTAAGTGTAAAAAAGAAACTTTTCAAAAATTTTAATTTACTTTGTTCAAAGATAATTGAATTTTAAAAAATTATGATAAAGCAGTTAGTTAGCTAGCAGTTTAGTTAGTTCTAAGAATTAATTTTTTGAATAAATAATTGAATTGTTTAAAATAATTTTTGAATAATTTTAAAAAGCTAATTAATTAATCGGAAATATGCAATTAAAAAAATTTAATTTTAAAAAATCAGAATGAAAAAATTCTAAGAATTGCTTTCCTCAAAACTATATTTTACCGAATATAACTTTTAGATGTAAATTCTCAATAATTTTCATTTTTAAATTTACATTTGAAGATTTTTCATTAAATTTTTTGAGAAATTAATTATTTTCAAAATTTGCAATCATAAAATTGTTCAAAAGTTGATTTTCAAAAATTGTAATAAAATACTTGAAAAAATCAATTATTTTCAATTAAATTTTACAAAATTTCATTTATTCAAAATCTTTTTAATTATAGGTATATTTTGAAAATAAAATTTAAAAAATTATTAAAAAATCATTTTTGAAAGAAAAGTCGAAAAAGTCGCTAATTTTATGTTTTGAAATATAAATCAGATGAATCTTATTAAAACAAATATTAATTTTTTAAAGAAATAATAAATTTTGAATTTATTGTATTTCAGAAGAATAAATAAACAAATAAACAAATGATGAACGAATCTTTCTTGGCTGAAATTTGAAATTTTTCAAAAAATAAAAAAGTGAAAATTATTTTTTTTCAAATTTAAAAGACAAAATTATGCTTTCGTTACATTCTTCAAATTATTATAAAAAAAATAAGAAATTCTTACTGAAAATTTCAAAATTTGTAAAATTTAAATAATTGACCTATTTTCTTTTTTTTTTGGAAAAATTTGAATTTGAATAGTAGTAAGAAAAAACGATGTATTACCGGCTCAGAGGCAATAAAGTCGTATTTAAAATTAATTTGCGTGGCAGTAATTAAGGCACCACCCATTAAAACACTGAAAATTGCGAAGCAAATTGTGTAATTCTTTTCGCTCGTATCCGGACCGCAGGGATGATCAGGAAATGCAGTACTATGATCGAGTGCAATTCCCACAAAAAACATAGCCAAACCCCAACCTAAACTGCCAAACATACGTTGATGTCCGTATCTGAAAATGTAAATAAAAAATTTATTATAGTTATTTCAATAATTTTCATATTTTATTATTTAAATTCCTTTCCAAACGGGAAATAAAAAAATTTTTCCTTTACCTGTCTGCATCTTCTCCGAGAAGTGTAATGACAGCTGAATCAGCTAAAGTAATTGCAGGAGCAGCAAAAAATTCTCCAACAATCACCAATAGTAGAAGAAGAAAGAAGGTTTTTTGAATGTCCTGAAAAAATGCTTTTTTATTAAACAAAAGAAAAAAAAGTATTAAAAAAAAACAGAAAGTATAAAAAAATAAAAAATATATTATTATTAATATGGAGAAAAGTAAATATACTCACTGACAAATTGTACACAATGGAGCTGAAATAGGGTTTAACTAAATCTTTATCCTTTTCATAATTATAATTACTGGCATATTTGACAGATAGAGGACTTTGACCAGCTGTGGCTTTAGGATAAATATTAGCACTGCGACGTTTTCTGATTAAAAGTTTCTTTTCCTTTTTCTCAACATTCTCCATTTCTACATCTTCATCGGAATCATCGTCTAATGCTTCAATTTCATCAGTATCTTCCGCTTCATCCTCTTCTTGTTCACGTTCCTCTTCCTCCTCGTCCTCTTCCTCATCATCTTCGTCATCATTATTTTGCTCCACTCTCGAGTACTTTAATTTTTTCTGACGAATTTCCCTCGATTCAGAATCTAAAATACTTGCCTCTAAATCTCTCGCGATGTGTAAATTCTCAATGTTACGTTTTACCATTACTTTTTGTGGTGGATTTTTTACTCGTGTTTTTAATGGTCGACTGTAAGCTTTCTTCGGTGGTCTTCCATCATTCAGGGGCTCGTTCTATTGGAATTAGAAACAATTATTTCTTGTTCTATTTCTTTTTATTATATTAATTATATTAACTAGCAAAACTACACGCGCGTCAAATTTTTGTTGCCATTCTTACTTTAAAAGATTTGCTTTTTAAAAGTTAATGAAAATTCTTCATTTTTTAAAAAATATAATTTTTCTAACAGTTTTTCTTTAAATTTAATTATTTGAACAACTCGTATAAAAATGGAAAAGATATTTCTAACAGCAACTTCAATGCAAGATATTTTTGATTAAATAATTGAACTTTCCAGTGAGGCTTGAGAGTACCACTAAAACTATCCTGGTAATAAATTTATTATACATTTTTTTTAAATTTAATTATTTACCAAATTTCAAATTGAGTCAAAACGCGTCAACCGTGAATAAAATTTTTTTATAATTTTGGAAAAGTAAAAATTAATAACTCATTACTGTTTTGCTAGAAATTAATGGCAATTTTTTTGGTAGTCATTGAATATCCACTCTTTTAAATCAACTTAATTGTGAAAAAAAATTTTAATAGAAAATTTAATAGAAAATTTTAAAATTTTTAAATTTAAATAGAATAATTTTTGTAAATTCATAAAATAATGTATTTTCAAAAATCAAATTATATTTGTAGATCATATTTAAAGATAAAAAAATAAAATTCTTTAAAATTTTTTTAAAATTAAATCTTTCAAATTTCAATACTTAATTTTTGTAAAATAAATATTTAAATACTAATTGTTCTTTGTTTGCTGAAAGTTTCGAAATTCTTTCAATGTAAAACTATTGGAAAAATTTTTTATGAAAATTTAAACTGCAAGTCTTCCATAATTAAATAATTTTTTTTAGAATTTTTGAGTAATATTATTCAAAACTTTTAATTTTAAATCAATTCTTATCAGAATTCAATTATTTAAATAAAAAATAAATAGTTCATAGGGAATAATTATAATTATTTTTAAAAATTGCAACTGTACCTCTTTATTGAGTTTTTGAAATTGGAGTTAAATTTTCTTACTCCACATATTTTATTATTTACAAACAACACTAACTTCACGTGAGGACAGATTATGTCGATTATTTATTATTATAAAAATAATAAAATATATATAATATTAACAATGCGACTGCGACATGAAAATCCGGAATTTTAATTCGAGATTTCAAGGTTATGTTTATAATTTTGAAAACATAAATTTCTATTGGTTGATTAAATGGAATTTTGAGTTTCCCGCCTTATTGTAGGTGAAAATAGTTATTTGCAAAGTCGCCTTTATTTCCACTTTTGCGACCGTTATATTTTTATCAAGAAGTTGATTTTTATTTAAGAATAAATCGAATAAATCAGTGATTGTCGAGTGTCTCTTTTGTTTTCTAATTTGTAGGTATTTTAATTATTAGTGTTATTATGGAAAAATTTTCAAATATACTTGCCTTCAGAAAGCGTTTATATTCCAAGACATCAGCAGGTCTATTCTTTTGGAGAATCGCGTCGATGTCAATTCTGAGTGGAGTGTCGTTTTGCTTCGTAGCATCTGAAGAAAATTGTGGTAAATATTGAATCTCAGCAAAAGGTAATAATTAATTGTAATAATTTTCGGGTGGAAATGTTAATGTCAGTTCACTTTGTCAAAGGGAAATGTCAATACAAGAACAAACCTGTGACAGCCGCAATCGGCAATGTGTGATTAACAACGAAGAAATCGTCCACATTGCGACGTAACCTCTGAAAGACGACATTTGCCGCAACTTCCAAATAATCCGAGTCAGTTGCCGTTGAATATTTATTATCAATAGATCTCTTGACGATTCTTGGTCCCTTGAGATTTGCGGGTGTCTCCAGGAAAAATGAATTATTTTTTTGAATCATACAAGTTGTCACAGGTGGTTGAATGAAACCCAAGGGCAATGTGAAGATAATCCAACAGGACAGTGAAGCAAGCAGCATCAATTTGCCCTTTTGATACCTATTCCGAGAAAAAGGTGGGTCCAACAGTTATTATTAAATAAAACTAAAATCCTAAGTATAAAAAATTATTTGTTTTACAAAAAGGAAAAATTGAATTTTCTTCGAGAAATTTTTTTTCTAAAAATAATACTTAATATACTGGTTTCATTGTTGGAAACTTAATATTTTATTGATATTTGTTTTTGAATAGAAACTTTCCACTTTCGTTAAAACTTGTGTCATAAAATATTCACTATTTGTGGATAATAATCTATGTCAATTCTGTCTGAGAATTTACAGTTGGAAAGTTTTCTCTTCTTGAAAACTTAAAACATACAAAACTTTTTTTAAAATTTATATTAAAAGTATTTTTAGTTTGAATTCTAGTGTCATTGTACCTTTTTCTCTAAATTGGGAATGAAAGACATTAATTCCTGTTAATTTGACGTTCCAGATGTGAGATCTAAGGGATAGAATAGAACGCAATTTTTCCGTGTGAGAGAGACAAAAGGAAAAGTGTCAGTGACCTAATTTCTCTTTAGCAATTGTGTGAATGAAAGAAAAGAGGAAATATGGAGGTGGAAAAAGGATGGAGAGAAAAATATAAAAAAAGGTAAATGTTTCTTTTTCACCTGTCAGCTAGGGATCCCCAGAAGGGTGCGCTGAAAAATTCGATAAACGGCCTGAGACCAACGAGCAATCCACATTGACCTGCGTTCATTCCCATTTGCTTGAAGTAGACCCCCATTAGAGGGAATAATGATCCAAAAGCCGAATAGAAAAAGAAATAGAATGTCTTGACGATAAGCATTTCTTGATCGACCGAGCCGAAAAGATATTCGAGAACATCATTTTTGCCACGAATTTTGTGTGTTGCCTCCTTTGGTTCGGGATAGAGATTTGGATCTACTTCGCCTTGGGCCTGTGGATCAACCATGGGCCTTGCTCCCGGTGCCGTCGGAAGATTTCGACCAACTCCCGCATTTGGATCACCTTCTGCCCCATAATTGTAGTCCTCGTGGCCATAATTCTGCATTGTGGCCTTTTTTCGGCAGGGGAACAAGGAACACGGACACTTGTCTTCTTTTTTCTTCTTTCTTTTTTAGTTTTGAAAAAACTAATGCCACAAAATAATGAAACACACACACTCACTACTCGGCGAACACTTTGTGAAAAATTATTTTTTTTCCTTCTCTTTTTTCTAAATCATGCGCCGAATCGATGACCAAGTGTTGGAGTTACCAGTTTCTCCCTCAACGTTATAATCGATAGGCAACATTCTGCGCTCGCGCAACACTTATTTCACCCCCGTTATTTTCTGTCAAACCCCTCTTTTCAAATTTTTGGCGTGTATCGGTGGGGCCGGCCTCAATTATTAGACAAAACTCTCGTATATTTATATACACTCAAGTTAGATAAAAATTTAGGAAATTGATAGTATTTGAGATTTTCTTTTTCACGCGGTATGCTTTGTCATCCTGACTATCTTTTCGATAGAATCGGGAAAATTTTCATTTCCCTTCGAATTTTGTCGTTTATATAGGTTGTTTCAATTTTTCAAAAAGAGATAGAAAATTGAAAAGAGTTTCAATTTAAAATTTTTTATTTTGAAAATTTTAAGTATTTTTCTTATTTTTTTGGAATTTTTTATTCTTTTAATAAAAATTCCTCAAGTTTTTAAAATCTAAATTGACCTTTTTTTAAAGGCCAAACAGATTTTCTTAACTTTTTTAATAATTTTTTTATTTTAAATGTTTTCAATTTTAAAATCAATGTTCTGAAAATGAGGCGCATGATTATTCCCCAAATGTCATTTGACCGAACTGTCATTTTACCGAATTGCATTTATTCGAACTGTTATTTTAACGAAATTTCACTTTTGCGAATCGCCATATTTACGAATTGCCATTTTTGCGAAATATCATTTTTACTAATTGTCATTCTTACGAATCGTTATTGTTCAGAAATGACATTTTTTCGAATTGTCATTTTTACGAAATGTCACTTTTGCAAATCGCTATTTTTACGAATTGTCACTTTTGCGAAAAGTCATTTTTTCGAATTGTCTTTTTTACGAATAGTTATTGTTCCGAAATGTCATTTTTTCGAATTGTCATTTTTACGAAATGTCAGTTTTGCGAATCGACGTTTTTACGAATTGTCACTTTTGCGAAAACTCATTTTTGAGAATTGTTTTTTTAAGAAATGTCACTATTGCGAATTGTCATTTTCGCGAAAATTGCTATAGTAAACTTGTATGCGTATATAGATTTACTATAGCAATTTTCGCAAAAATGACAATTCGTAACAGTGACATTTCGTAAAAATGACAATTCGAAAAATGTCAGTTCGCATAAATAACAATTCGTAAAAATGGTATTTCGCAAAAATGACTTTTCGCAAAAGTGTCAATTCGTAAAAATGACGATTCGCAAAAGTGACATTTCGTTAAAATAACAGTTCGAATAAATGCAATTCGGTAAAATGACAGTTCGGTCAAATGACATTTGGGGAATAATCATGCGCCTCTCTGAAAATAATTTAATTCATTTCAAGTAATCAATATTAAACTGATAAGTAACCCTGGAAGGATTTTTATTTTATTTTTTAATTTTTTGTAGAATTTGTTCAATGTAATGTCGTCTTCTATGGACCTCAATGCGTGTGTGTGTTAAATTTTAAAACAATTCATTAATAATTGTCGAAGATAAGAAAATTTATGTTTTAAAAGTCAATAAAATTTGTAAATAAAAATTTGACAGTTTTTTGCCATTATTAATTTATTTAAATATTTGTTTCAGAAAAAAATGTCAAAAGAAAAAAAGATGCGCCTTCTTATTTTCTATAAGGTATCGCAGTTTTGAAAAATTAAAATTTGCAATTTTAATTTTACTCCTATTTTCATACGTTTGACTGGAATGATACTGACTAGCCGAGCGTTCGTCCAATTATTGTATGTAGCCCTTCAATAAATTGTACGGTACGTATCGATCCTTCATTATTAACAGATAATAAAAATTACAGTTTGTCCAAACTTTATATAATTCTTTTCAAATTTTCAATGAAAAATTAAATGTAAATAAAAATTTATTTTAAATTTTTCGAAAATTGTGTATTATATATTATATATAAGTTTATGTAACGTTGTAATTTTGATTCATAATTGTTCCAAAAGTCACGAATTTTCACTATTTTATTTTTAGCATTTTATGATAAAAAAGGAGAATTACAAAAAAATAATTGAATTCCTCCCAAAGAATGTTATTATTCATAAGCATAATTCTTGCGAAAAATTAAAATAAAAATATTTGAAAATTTAAATCAAAAAAACTTCAAGAAAATTTTTTTTCTCTTCTCGAAATTTTCTGTTTTGAAAAAATATTCACATTCTCTCCCCTCGTTATCAGATTAAGAATTCCCAAAAAATAGTAAAGAAAAATATGCAATTCTTTATTAAAAAGGAAATAACTAAATATTCCTAATAGTAAAAGAGAATGCAATTTTTATTCAAAAAAAGAAAGAATTAAAAATTCTAAAATTAAAAATTTTTTTTTTAATAATTAAAATTTTTAAATAGAAAAAAATGTGCAATTTTTTTTATCAAAAACGAAAGAATTAAAAATTTTAAATAGTTCAAGAATATGCAATTCTTTTTTTCATTTTTAATTCACATTTTCCCTAGTTAATTTTGATTATAAACCATTTTTCTAGTTTATGGTATAAATTTAGCCATCGTATATGTATATATACCTAAAACAATTTTATCAGCAACTCTGCGATAGACCAAATCTCGCAATTAGAGTTCAAAAGATCAAATCGTATACAATAATGCAACTAATTTAATAATAGAAATAATTAAATGTTTATTGTTCTCAGCTTGGATTTAAAAGCAATAAAGGGCTCAATAACCTCCGTCTTATTTTTTGTCATCTCGCGCTTCGATGATATTAAACAAAAAAAAACAAATAAATACTTTATAAGCAAAATAGTTATTGTGCAAACGTCCTTGTGATAAAGAGCTTGAGAATAAATTCCCTCTCTGATGACAAAAAAAAAGAATGTTAAAGTTTTTATTTTTTTTATTTTTAATCAAAGGAAGTTCATCAATTTTTCGCGAATATAAACAATCAATTTTTTCTTGATCTAAGTTTTTAGTATATGTATAATTTTATATTATAGGTATATAAATATTTTAACTAAGACGACCGAGTGATAATAAATTAAAATATTTATTATTATTATTATATTATATTGTTATTTTTATTAATATTTTTATTGTTATTATTATTATTGTCATTTATATTAATATTTTAACGGGTTACACCACCCTGAACGCCTGAAAATTTCAAAAATAAATTTTGACAAAACTACTAAAAATACAACTTGTTACTAATTACAGTATAAAAATACATATATTTAACTGTAAAAAAAATTTTGAAAAATGAAAAAATATATTCAAAACTGGCGAAGATATGGTGTTTTTTCGAAACTACATTTTTCGGAACGGTGTACATGATTTCTCAAAAACTACTTAACCGATTCTCTTTAAATTTTGTACACAACTGCTCAATAACATTCTCGGGATCCCACATTCTCTATGACGTGACGTAGGATTTTTTTGATATGATTTTTTAAAAAAAAGTTATACATTTTTAAAAAAAATTTTTTGTCCCCAAAATTTTAGACTTTTTTTTTAAGTGTTCCCATTTGCTCAAAAAATTTTTTCTTTAAAAACGGCTACGTCACGTCATAGAGAATGTTATTGAGCAGTTGTGTACAGAATTTAAAGAGAATCGGTTGAGTAGTTTTTGAGAAATCATGTACACCGTTCCGAAAAATGTAGTTTCGAAAAAACGCCATATCTTCGCCATTTTTGAATATTTTTTCATTTTTCAAAATTTTTTTTACAGTTGAATATATGTATTTTTATACTGTAATTAGTAAATAGTTGTATTTTTAGTAGTTTTGTCAAAATTTATTTTTGAAATTTTCAGGCGTTCAGGGTGGTGTAACCCCTTAATTCTTTCTTGAACATTATTATGTAATTTTTTAATATTCGTGTTTCAAAAAATTTTTAAGTACATTTTTATACTCTTTTTTTTCTTTTTTTCTTGTAATTTTCTATTTTCGCGCTTTTAATATTTTTCAATTAATTTCTATTCTTTTTAGGGTTCCGTACACCTACGGTGTATCGGCGGAACCCTATTGGTGAGACTCTGTTGTCCGTAGCCAAATCGTGTCCCCCCCCCCTAGCGGCTAAACTATTTGACCTAAAGAGCTCAAATTTGGTCCAGATATGTATTTTCACTCGTAGATTACAGGAAAAATATAGCGAATGTGATTGGACGTGATGGGCATAGCGTTGTCAAGGAAATAACAAGATTTTTGGCCAAAAATGCATAAAAAGTGACCATTCCCCCCCCTTAACTTCTAAACTATTCGACATGGAGAGCTGAAATTTTGCATGCTGGTGTATTTTTACTCGAATATTACAGGAAAAATATAGAGAACTTGATATGTAATGATGGCCATAGCGTTGTCAAGGAAAAACTAAAAAATTTTTTAAAAAAAATTGTTTTTCCTAACTTTTACATTATTTGACCTAATGAGCTGGAAATTGGTATCCTGGTGTATTATTACAGTCTGACGACAAAAAATTTATTTAAGAAACTTTTTAAAAAAAAATTTTTTTTTTTTCAAAAAAAAAAATTTTTTTAATTTTTTTTAGTTTAAACACGTGGCATTAAATATTTTAAGGAAGAGTGAAATTTTAAGAGAATAAATGAGAGATTGTTTTCTGACTTTAATTTCTTAACTAAAAGTAAAAAAAAATTGGACAAGTGCGAGTTGTACTCGCACTGCAATGGCGGGTTCCGTACACAAATATTAAAACAATACTTGCAACATTTATCGGTAATTAGTAGAATTAAAATAAACAATTAAAAAAATATATTAAAATCATTTGATAAAAAAGAATAACTAAAAAAATTAAAGTATTGTATATATCTAATATTGTAAACAATAATAAGCAGAGGAACTATAATAAATTTTGAAAATTTTGTTCCTCTGCTTATTATTGTTTACAATATTAGATATACAATACTTTAATTTTTTTTAGTTATTTTTTTTATCAAATGATTTTAATATATTTTTTTAATTGTTTATTTTAATTCTACTAATTACCGATAAATGTTGCAAGTATTGTTTTAATATTTGTGTACGGAACCCGCCATTGCAGTGCGAGTACAACTCGC